ACACACAAAGTACAAGCAAAGTCGGTGCAACTTCTAATTTATTACAAAAAAATTTGTCCCTGTATGAGTATCAACTCACAACAGTCAAGGTGACTGACTATCTCAAACAAAGTTTTCCGCGCCGTTAAAGTTCGTTTGCGAAATTCCATCAGACAAACTAATTGTAGCTAAGCGCTTATTGGCGTTTCTATACGTGTGGCGGTGTAGTTTATTTTAATTCCATAACAAATGACATCGTTAAATGACAAACGGAGTGCTATCACGTACACAAGCGATAAGCAGTGCCTAATCCTTCTCTAATCTTTTTGGAGTATGCCGTTTCAAGTCATAACATTATCGGCGCTTTCTCTCTATCATCCATTAGCCGTTTTCATTTTCGTTTCGTCGATGTCCAGATTAAATGGGTCATGCGATTATTAGTGCCGCGATAGCTCATGTCCGGACGGTCGCTTTTAATTCATTATACTCGAGCAACCTCAGTTCGATCCCCGGTGCCGGCACCAATGAAATTGTTAATTTTCTGTGATGTCTTATCACGTGCTCGGCGGTGAAGGAAAACATCGTGAGGAAACCTGCATGTTTTCGAAATAATAACAAAAGAATATTTCGAAGATATGTGAAGTCCGCCAATCGGCAGTGGGGCCGCGTGGTGGACTATGCCCTGGTACCCTCTGTACAGAGGAGTTCTTTGCCCAGCAGTGGTACATGACCAGGCTGTTACTTTAATATATGCGATATTGTTCTTTTGTATCCAAATGGTTCTCAATGACTACTGGAGGTCCCGGTTACGACGGGGGAAGACTTACTATATAACAGGACGCCTATTTTCTTTTCTACGGATTTGAGAAATGTACCATAGTAGAAATATGCTTATTTTTGGTTATTATCGTCGACAGCTCCTTTAGAAGATCGTCATATTCGGAAGGGAAGAACTTGTACCAGTACAAATGGGGCAAGTGTTTGCGTCTTCATTAGTGCTTTGGAGTTGAATATCTGTAGATTCATATATTATTAAATTTCAAAGATGTGGGTTCGATCCCACAGCGGCGAGAAACTTTTCGTACGTTTTTCTACAAATTTTAATGTTTCATCTTAAATGCAGAGATTAGCATCCTCCTCAATAGAGCCAACATCTACACCGGTCAATGCAATCTACATTCTCGCGCTCCGAACCCATCATGGGGCATTACCATGTGGTAATGCCCCACTTCAAAGCAGTTCGTCGTCATATGCCATCATGTGGCCTTTCGTACCCACGCGCTCTTCAATCGGATTGTACACGCCATTTTATTAAGTCAATCTCCGTCAAATCGCCGTATTATATTTCCACAGAGTAAAAATCGTCTTCAACCCTCCCAAGTGCCCGTTACAATACGCAACGGTGACATTTTCTTTGTTGCGCGTGCGCTAGAAAACGACAAGTTTGATCCGACATTTATGTTTTCTTTATTTATACTTGTGTATTTTTTTTAAATATACTTGTGTAAAAATGTGTAAAATATTTATTTATTTTATTTATACTTTATTGCAATTACCTTTTTTTTTATAACTGATGTTACGCTTTCAGTCCTTAGACTATTAAAGCTTCATCGAACGCAACAATTAGCCTTAAATAAGTGTTACAGAGGGCAAACTTAAGCCCTAAGGTGATAAATTTGTGATAGGTGCAATAATAACGTTCAATGATTTATTTAAATCATATATACGTTTATATATTTATGCAGAAATTAGGCTGGACATTTTATACTTTTTAGTGTCTATCAGTTACAACAATCACTCACTATACAGTTCTTGTGTTAGATTAAACAACGCTTAATTTATCACGGGACATTGTAAAATATGATGCGAGTATATTTTATATATTATATAATTTCTTATTACACGCTTGACTTTTACGAATTGAGCAACAATATTGCAAAATATCATACCATGATATATGGTTTAAATTATTGGATGTCGTTAGTTCTCTCTTATTTGTCAAATGCAAAAAGTGTATACAGGTTTCAATAGATAACAATGTTAGACCTGTTTTTATTACTACGCATTAGTGCCGGTTCTCGAAGTACGTAAGTGTTATTACAAAGAAATTATTTGTAATCTAAATATTACCCTCACAAATATGTACGATAACAATTTAGATGGTGTGATACAATAATTGTTTTTGCAAATAACGTGGCGCATAAAGTTAACTGCACTTTGTCGATGTTTATAACATTGTAGTCACATGCTTTTCTAATGGAGCCAAGATCGACGTGTAGAGACATTGTGGTAATAAGAACTTTATTCCCTTCACTTAAGTAATAAAAAAGCGCTCGCTGTATTGTAGTTGGATACACGTGTCTATGACCACCGCGGAAGTCTTACGGGCCCGCTCTGCAAGTGTTATTTATCCATCAGCAAGGTCCTAAACGCCTTATCGACGGCATCGCAAACAAAACTCTATTTCATTGCGTTTAGATCGGTTATCGACTGCCTCGCGCCACTTAGGATTATGTAAATGCGCACAGCTGTGTGGTGGCGCGTTCGCAGCGAGTGTTCTGCACGGTACACAAGCCAATATGGCCTATAACGCTGGGGCGAACGGCCTAAAATCGCGCGCATTCGTTAAGTGCGCCACAGCTGTTATCGGGTTGCATAAGAGCGGGCGGTATTATCTTTATCAGTCGGTTTGTTTTCCTGACGCAACCGCTCGAACTACTACGCCGTTATGACCTGGCCCATTTCGGATACGGCAGCGCTTTCCGCCCAATGGGACAATTACGACCGCATTAAGCAATGGGGTAGACAGCGATGCCAGTTTCTTATAACGGTTGATGTAAGCTGAACGATGGTCCCCTGGCTCATTTCTGTCGTGAACCCCCGGCCGAGTCGAGAACCTGTCAGGTATGTAACTTTCGATCCTTTTTTATCTCTTTTAAACTCTCATTAATTATTCTCGCACACGGAGATAAGTTTTATTTCCTATTGAATTTGAAACATCTCATAAAACTGAGGGTCTATATCTAAAGAGATGTTATGAACATTTAGGCGATGCCTTCGTACCTCCGGTGAAGCTATTAATTTGCGTGGTGCAGGTGTTTCGTTGTTTTTTGATAAAAAAACAAAATGACCCAATAAAAAGTCTTGGGTTGATAAAAATCCTTTGACTAGAACAAAAAACGTTCGATCTAAGCTAACTTGCAGCTAAGCGAATGTGACATTATAATTTAACACTGACAATCGAATATTCGTGTTCTGGAAATGTCTACGATTCAGATCCCCAGGATCTAACTCTGCTCTTGTAGTTGAGTAAAGCCAGGAGGACATTGTAATATAGGACACTTCGTGTAACAGTTATCCTTATCTTATATCGTGGGGCAAGCGGGTCGATGTGGGGCAAACGTTTACATCAGTGCCACGAGTCAAGGAAACGTACTAGATACAAGTGCTTTGTTCTCTTTGTTAATTCTTTTGTTTATTCGTGAATTGAAACTAAGCTTCACGGTTGCCTCAAGAGAGTGGTCAGAGATCATTTGATTTATCGTTTCATAATCCTTGACGCTGGGATCGACTTCATTCTGAACGACCTGTCCGATTGGAAACCATATGTTTGCTATAAAAATGCAATGGTGACAATAGTTTCTTTAACAATCCTCTTCATAATGCATAACTTATGATGCTACCTTCTAAAAGTATACCGTGTGAGACCTACTTACGGAAACAGTAGACTTACTTTTAATTTTCTTTGTATCTACGGACAAAATTGAGCGACCCTTTGCCTATCTATGTTATGGTTACAAAAGTAATGAGTGTTGACAAACAAAACGCCTGTAAGCTACAACGCGCATTACGATTTACGATACTTACAATAAGGAGAATGGTCGTGCGGTGACTCTTGCCGCAATGTTTTAAATGATGGTGACAATTCAACACTATATGTACGTATGTATTCCTTTTAGGTAACGACTTAAAACATCATTGATGATATAATAATATTATTATTTAACGTTATGCAGTATTTTATAGATACCACGCTTGGAAGGTTAATGCAAGTATATACTAAATAATGCTCTGAAATATCCTTGTACCACCTACTGAGGATATTGAATAAATTTGCACAATATTTGCGTTCATCGGTTTGCATTTCAAGTAAAGATATAATATTTTACATTCATTCTTTATAATATATCGATTGACAATTTTACTTTATTAAAAAGAAGTTATCTTGAAAAGCTGTGTATCTCTGTAATCTGTATCTACATCTGATTACAATCCATAAGTATTTTTGCATCGATGCATAAAACAGCATGAAAGTTATACAGAAGTATTTAATGGATAGAAAGTGAGGCAGCTTTGATCTTTGCATTCCTGTTACATCTTTCTCAATACCATACATTGGCCTTGCAAATTGATCAGTCTGGAAATATAAGTCTATGTACTAGGGCTTCATGACATTAATTCTGTTTTGAGGCTTAACGTAAACCCAACACTATAATTGGAAACTTCTTTGATTTATGAGCTCCTAGTATATTATTCCCAGAACATAGGATGGCTTAAGACATTTGTCCAAATTCTGTATACCAATTAACTCGAAGAATTTTAAAAGTAAAGTAACAGCCTATTATGCCCTCCCTACTCCTGTGCAAAGACGTCCTCTATGCAGAGGATAAAAGGGCGTAGTCCACCACGCTACTCTAACTAACTTTTTGTTATTATTTCTAAAATACGCAGATTATATTGATTGATATCCTCACTTTGTTTTCCTTCACCGCTGAGCACGTGATAAGTCAGCACGTAAAATCAACAATTTCATTGGTGCCAGCACCAACTCACTGGGCTTATATTACGAAGAATGTTAGGCAGCTCCGTTTTATGTGTTCCCAGTACGTTGCACCATACAATTTTTTTTTAGGACACATTTTTTACACAACATCCTCTAGTCCCAAACTAAGCAAACGCTTGTACTGTGGACTATATGACTCAAAAAATAACCTGGTCAAAGCAGAACCGGTTGAAGTTCAGCCGTGTCCCGGAATCCTAGCAAGCCAGAAGTCTCCGAGGCCGGCGAGTGTACATACGCGCATTGTCTTCGGTACACTCGGCGCCGACAGCACAGCGCGCTCTATTTTCGCCGCTCTATAATTAGAATGAAGACGATCATCTGCAGCTAACCTTGCCGCTAAATCTGGATTTTCAAGATCAATAACGGCGATCCCCCGCGGCCTATCAGCCGTTGCAACTCCCAAGTGGCCTCTGCAAGCTTAGAAACGATCTTAGAGAAAGTGCAGTAATAACAGTACATAATACAATAGGTTAAAATTTTTTGGCCGCCAGCTGCGTTTTTCGTAATTAAAATTGTCTTTGCGTTTCGCTTAGGTAGCCTTTACAAGATAAAAGCCTAAAAAGATAAAAAAAAAACCTATAAAGAAAAAACGATTATAGTCTAATCTTCACAACTTGAAAACCATACAGAAAGTATAATACTGTGGAATATGTTTTTTGGCTTTGCCGCCTTCTGGTTCAACGAATGCAACTTGCTGGTAGATTGTATTAATGTTATGAGAGATATGTAATATTTGTACCGTAAACTTAGTACCTACTAAATATGTTTAATAGACGCTTCCCTTAGAATATTTAAACTTAAAATTGATTAAATCATCTGGTTCGAAATGCAAATACACTTTCTTCGTGTTTGTCAAACTAAACACTAAACAATAACGATCAAATAGTCTAATTAAATTCAATGCGTAAGTTTGAATTGTTTTTGCGCAATGCGTAAATTAGACTCTTTTAAAATAGTTTTCATATGAAAATTATCTAACAAAGCTAGAAGTGGGAAGTATCAAATCAGACGCGCAAATTTATTATTGGCTTGTTTGTTCCATCCGAGCGCATTCCACCGAAGCAACGTAACTGGATGAAATCAGGCTGCAATAGTGTATCGTGCAATAAATCATAAGCAACATATAAACATGTACACAAATTGTCGATATGCTCGACCGCCGTGTAGGTTTTCCGTGCCAAAGTTTGGGCAAAACTTCGAGTATTTATTTGCCTCTGCATTCATCTGAATAGCATCTAATGACTGCTGGAAAGATTGGGTAAATAAGTTCTGTTATAGATAAAATATGCGATAACACTAAAACAGTACGACGGTTGGTAAACGTAGCTTGGGAATGTTTGAGATACAAAGTACTCGGAGTAAAAGCACGCATATATTGAACTGTTTGTCCTGTGACATTATGAATGTGGTTGCCACATTTTTTTGAAGAAAAAATAGTATTAATTAGTTCCAAGCTATAAAAATATAGTACTTTTACTAAATTTAGGTATAAAAATTGTAAATACACAATATTTCTCATCATTTATTAAAAAACTGACTGTATATTACGAAGCTTTACATTATCCCTAGTACTGAAAGGGACGTCCGGCGCACACGAAAATGAGGAAAACTTTTTCACGGATTCGTTCAGAAATGAATCATTAGAAAACTTCACCACCTCGGAGGTCGGTTCGACGAACTGTATCACAACAATAACAACTTCCCGATTATTCACCGTGTTACGCAGCCCTAGTATAAGGAATCTGCTGCGTCGCGACGGCCTCGGACTCCAACGCGAGCACGAGGCACCGACTCAGCACAACGCATTGGCGTCATAAATTCTTTACCTTATTTCGAAATTGTAATCGATCCTCATTCTTAATTCACAAGTCGAATTAGAGTCACCTTTCTTAGCTATAATTTTATTGTAATATTTTAAAGTAAATTAAATTATATTTTATAAGAATTGCTTTTTTCTGCAACCTCTGGCTTGGAGCCCACGTAATTACCGAGCATGGTGTGTAATATGAGAGCCCGAATTGAATCCTAAACAAATACTTCGTGCGTTGACGGGGCAACGCACGGCGGCGTCTTATATGTGAAAGTGTTTATTAATTTTATTTACTTACTCTTTAGACTCTTTTATACTAGCTGTGCCCGCGACTTCGTCCGCGTGGAGTTTAAAATAAAAAATTCTAAAATAAAAGTAGCCCAAGTTACTCCTTGTTACATCAGCTATCTGCCAGTGAAAGTCCCGTCCAAATCAATCCAGCCGTTTCAGAGATTAGCCGGAAGAAACGGACAGACAGACAGACAAAAATTTAAAAAAAATGTTATTTGGGTATATGTACCGTGTATACATCCGTGCATTTAGTAAAAAGCGGTTATTTTAATAGTACAAACAGACACTCCTATTTTATTTATCTGTACCAATTAGCAGAGCAGTTGGTAATACGTACATAGTATAAAACGAAGTCGTTCCGCTGTCTGTCTGTCACTATGTATGCTTAGATCTTTAAAACTACACAACGGATCTTGATGCGCTTTTTTACTAGATAGAGTGATTCATGAAGAAGGTTTATATGTATGTTACATCGCAACCGTGCGAAGCCGGGGCGGGTCCCTAGTATTTAAATATAAAAAAAATTAAGTATATTTGTGATCCACGGATAATTATTGTTACGGAACTGGATATTATTAGTGAAAGGAAATTTGACTATCGTCTCCGTCGTCTATTTTTTTATTGAAAAATTGGCAAACGAGCTGACTGATTTGATGATACGTGATAATCGCCGCCCGTGGACATCTGCAACTTCTGCGGTGTTGCAAATCAGTTGTCGTCTTTTAAAACCACCACCAATGTAAAGTCTTCCTTCGGGAATTGAATCTTTGATTCTATACCGAGACGCTTCATGTAGCGAGGCACTTCAACCACTAAGCGGTTATCTATTAATAACATCCGTCATCCAGTATAATGCCTCCTGTCACCCGTTCATGAGTAACGACGGAATGTAGCCGCTATTAATCAGGCAAGGGCCGAATTTGGAATTGCGCTGGCAATTTATTATGTCGAGAATACGAGAATACGTCACTGTCTGGAGGCGCACAAAGCGTCTTTGTGTTCACCCCGTCTGGCTTAACGCCTTATGGAGGCGCACAAAGGTTAAAATAGTCTTGGATGAAGTGATCACCACGTTCACCCCGTCTGGCTTAACGCCTTATGGTGTTATGAATTTCGAGTACGTTCAGCAATGGTTAAAATAGTAGTAGACTGAATGTGCAATGGATGAAGTGATCACCACGCCAACAAGGTTGTTAAAAATTAATACTTCGGGTCACAGAACACATTTAGGGTTCCGTACTCAAAGGTTAAAACGGGACTCCATTGCTATTACTCCGCTGTCTGTCTGTCCGTCTGTCACCAAGCTGTATCTTACGAGCCGTGATAGTTAGACAGTTGAATATCTTATATTATATCACAGATGATATATTTCTGTTGCCGCTATGACAATAAATACTAAAAAACAGAATAAAAAAATGTTTAAGTGGGGCTCCCATACAACAGACATGATTTTCATAATTAATTAATTAATTTCACCAAGGCAGAATGAGTCAATCCCAATTGTGTCTTTAAAAATACCTGTCTTTTTAATTTAATTTCTTATAAACGAATGCATTAAATGGATTCAAAAAGACACAAGGAGGACCTTGCGACCTTCGTACTAAATGTATGTATAATGCGCCACAGTCGTACTCGCGGTAATAATCTTGTTATCAATGCATTTCAGAATTTGTAATGACCCTTACTGTCCTTTAGGGACATCGTGAAATGAGATTTGTGACATTTTAGCTGATGCATCTCGCTCGAGTCGCGCGGCGGCAACTGCATAACGCCTCTGGGGCGGTGAGATAAGTGAGTTGAGGTCACAACCCTACTTATACTTTGTCGTAATGCACCATTGTGATGGAGTGTCGGTGTTAGGAAACGGTCGAGAACAATGCATGAGCCAAGGCAACTAAATGTACCGGGCGAGGCTTTGTGCTTGGAATTGAGGGCAGTGAGTCGAATCCAATTCACTGTTTAGAACTAACTGAGCAGTTTGACGGTGGTAGGGCCACGCAACAGTGTTCGCTGTTGCACGAATGGGCGGGTCCCTCCGGGTTAATACCACGGCCTCACAGACGACCAGCGTGAAATAGAAGTCTTCTGCGTTTCGTCTGGTGAGTGGGGTATTCCCGCTTTATTGAGAGGTGGTAACGCATCCGCAACCCTACGGGTGTTGCAAATGTCCATGGGCAGGCGATTATCACTTATGATCGGGTGAAAGGCCAGCTCGTTTGCCACTTTCTCGTAAAAAAAGAACAGTGCCCGAATCCTTCCTGATGCTATTTTTATATAACTGGCCCGTGCCTGACCACAGCCACAAGTGACATTGACATTTTATCAGTGTTGTATCGGTTTGAATGGAACTGTTGAGGGGTAGTCCATCATACATACATGCGTCGCAATTTTCTGCATGTGAGTTTTCAAACAAACGAATAATAATTAATTGTTTGTTTGTACCGTTTAATAACGGACTGGCAAGTTAAGGAGCTGTGTTTATTAAAAATTAAATTAAAAACTTTTCTAACATATGCAAAGAGATTCCGTTTTGTTTCATCGGGTGCAATGAAACTGAAAATCCATCCGCAATTTCTCTTAATACTATAATGAATAGAATCTCTTAACACTATAAAAGTAGTATAGAATCGTCTTTCGGGCCGAAAGTAATGGTTAGAGGAAAAGAGGCCAATGCGACTGTATTCGAGCGAAGCTTTCAGAAATTTATTCGAAAAATCCGAACGATATTTCGAAAGGCGTCGAATACTATCTACTACTAAAGCACTAAAGCAACCATATTCCAGGAGCGTAAGAAATTTTCAACATATAATATACTGAAGACCTTTCTTCTAACACTATCGTCTAAGCATACTAAAATATTCACTGCCATTGTCTTTGATATCCGAAACGAAAATGCCTATATTTTAAACGTCTAATGTTATTGGAGGAATTTATTAATTCATTTTTAAGGGATTATTTTTTTACTATCAGAGGTAAATAAATAATCCCATAAACTGTTAATAATCACCTCTATTCAACAATTTTGTAATATATAAGTATACGCAGGGGTTGATTTTGTCTTAAATCTCTTAAAAAACATGTCAGCCTACTGCCATATTATACGATACTTGAAAGTGAAATCAGAACGCTTGTGAATAGCCTTATAAATATAGCTACACCACCAAGTGTGTTTGTCGATAATTTATATCGAGTGTTTAGGAAATCTGGAACCCTTGAGACTGGTAAACGGCGCACGTGTATTGGGATTTCGCAACACAGCTCGTTTAGCCACACCGTTACACCTTTTTGAGACTGTTCAAAAAATCAAAATATTAAAATATTTTGATATCCAACAAAACATTTACCTTTGTTGATAAGGATTTATTTGATTTGTTTTGAAGGGTGACCGTAGCAAGTTGAATCTCTCGCAGTTAATAAATGTTGTAAATTAAGCCTTTTAGGATGAAAAAACTTTATTGTTTATGTGTTTTGAATATATGTTATGTTACATAAAGTTATTTAATTTTTTTTATAGTGCTAATGTCTACACTTAATCATGTAACCAAAGCAATTCCGTCACTGAAACACATTTAAAAAAATCATTCGATAATGACTTTTGTAAAATTCGACATCTCGGTTTAAGAGAAAAATGTCTTTTAAGGAAAGGATAGGTTTGCCACAAATAATTAACCAGTTTTTGTACCCCAAAATGTCCACAAAATCCGTGGCTATATGGTCACCGTCGCTTAGCGGCCGCGCCGTGTCGTGTGCCCGACACAATGCAGGACCAATTGTGGCCTAAACATGAATATTCAGCGCGCAATGCCATCGACGCTTTCAATTAAGGTGATTAAGCGGCGAAAGATTAGTTTGTGCCTCGTGTCGGCGGGGTCAACGACCCCTAGATAGGGAATACGCAAATAGCCGCTGCCCTAGTTTCTTTCCGCTATCGCGCGAATGAAACGTGACATCTAAAAATATGCACATACTTTGTAGATTCGGTGACTCGGTTGGAGCAGTAACTTGTAGGGTTGGACGTCCCTTCTTCATTATTTTCTCGGTACCGGACGGTATGATCAAAGAATAATTTCTACGCGAACTTTTTGTATGACAAACAACTTTAATAAATGGAATGTAAAGTAGTGGGTAGTTCCTCCTTGAGAGCGTGGAATTTGACTGCGCAAATCTATTCGTACCTAATTATTAATAATCATTTCATTATTATTGTAAAGATTTGCTCGATAAATAAAAATTACGATAAAATCGCAATACTCGTTTAATATTTCACAATGTCATTACCATATACCTTTTGTTATAAAATAAATCCAGAGAGAAAACAATTGATAAGTTTTAATGAATATTTGCGGTAATAGTCACGAACGCACGTGTCGGCCATTTTCAGCTATTTTGGAAATGGCTATCAGAATTTTTTTTAGTACAACTGCTATCCGGATCCCATAACGATTTGCTCATTTTCCAGTCTTCCGGTCAAATATCCGGTACGAACGGGCGAGAGGCTTAGATCGAAATAACTGTACGTAATTTAAATTTTTTATAGTGCTAATCCCTGCACTACACACCTTAATAACTATACGTAATCAATGTATTTTTTAATTATTATTTTATATAACCAATAATACGATATACGCGATCGTACTCAGATGAGACCGTTCCGTGAGACCATTCGCGGGCAATGTTAATCAAAATAATATTTCGAGTGCCCATTCACGTTATTAAATATTTTTAATAATAGCTCCCATTCACTTTATTAAATTGAAATTAATAATTTCTAATACCAAAATTTTGCTGACGGGGGCCGTAAGCAAATTTTGTCCGTTGTAGTTAATCTTCTGTTAGGAGTAAACAGCTCTGACAATCCAGAGTGATTTTTTTATAAAGTTACAAGAGTACCGTTTCCAATTTACGCTCAAGAAGTTTTCCAAGATTATTATTATAGGCAAAGATAGCCATAGAAATGTATATTTTCGTTCAAACTTAGTCTACAATAAACACTCAACGTTTTTTTATACTACAACAAATCATTATCGGAATATTCACGCAAATTATAAACTGGCCAAAACAAAAGTAAGCCAGCCGTTTTATGTCATTGCTGTGAACGTAAGCATCGCTTACATTCGATAGTATTTTTAATGCAGAATTTAATAATCATTCATTCAATGTAATTCATCGCTTGACAGTTCGTGTAATTGTCCTGGTCATCTTTTGATGCTCACATTAGCAAATAATTTTGTGACCTCTGGAATAATGGATGGCAACATCGAAGAAACTATCATATAGGATAAATAACCCTACCACGATGACAACAATGCAATGAGTTTGTAATTCTCATTCCGAAGGATACTCGTATATTGATAGTTGCAGCCTCAATAAAATATATTTTTTTTAAATGATAGCAAACTTGAAATGATTTAATCACTCCAGGCTCTTTCAAGTGTAAGTGTAAGTCAGAATTGAAAGATTGAATCATCAACAACAGAATTTGATGAACTTTGTGCATAGGGTAAAAAAGAACGAAAAAGTTACCATTAATATGGTCTGTAACTGTACACAAGCTCCATGGAGCTACTTGACCGAGCTGTGGTTGATTTTGTTTTGTGCTCTTTACGTCAAGTTTGTTAAAAAAGTTCAAGCTTGACATGGACATTTTCAGGTATCTTAATAATGTAATGAAATATTTCACTTCAATCTTTGCCCATTTAGAGACATCGGAATGGATCAAAAATTTACATAAATAAAGTATAAAGAACAATGGTAAAAAAATGTCCTTGTTTCTTTCGCCGGTTCTTCTCAGGTCATTGGCTTTTCTTATCCGAACCGCGGGGGTAGAGTTTTGACAATCAATAAGTAAGTGTAATGCTTCTATATCGAATAAAGATATTTGAATTTTAATTCCTAGGAGCCAATGTGTTACAAATCTCTGGTAGAGCACCAACCAGTTCCATTGCATATAGAAGTTTGACCTTGAAAATCACCTTCCCTATTGAGTGACGGACTAAATAAACGAAATAAAATAAAGCTCCGTACCCACTTTTTGCCCGTGCCCACTAGCATTTGTTGCCCATTCACGTTCCACGTAAATATATAAAGCAGTGGCATAACATAACGCAAAAAACGCTTTTGGTCGCATGATCGCGTTCGCTGTTAAAAAAAAATAAACAACGGCCCGGTTTTCCATTCAGCAGGCGAGCCAAGATAAAATCGGCGTATTCGTCAACATGTGAACTCGGAACTTCGGTACACGCGAAGTACTCTAAATAGGACTTAAGCGCGGCGACTTTTGCCTGTTTTTTTTTTTAATGCGCATAATGGCGGCAAACGAAATGTCAGTCGACCCGATAGGCATCTTTAGTGCCGCCAAATTTGGAGGGACATATCACAATGGCGATCAAGAATAAAATTTATTCCATTACATTTTACGCATGTAATTGAACTTAACGACGACTAGATAAAGTCGGGAAGAAGCGGTGTTTGTCAGTCACAGATGTGCGTGGACCCTTCAGGCGTGGTAGAGACGAACCTGGCCAGTCTAGAACAGAGACCAATCATGGCACAAAATTACACACATATTGATTATACTATTTAAGGTTAGCGGGCCACCAACTAATCTTGCTATTTGACCTCAAAAAAATTAAATTAACGTGGTGTGGGAAGACCCCCACTAGATGGAGTGCCGACCTACCTGTGCAAGGTGGCTCAGGATCATACTTCGTGGCAGTCTGCGCGGGAGGCCTATGTTCAGCAGTGGAGAGTCCTGTAACTGCTCTCTCTAAAAGAGACGTCCAAAAGAAACACACTCCTTTCATTAAACTATGTTTATTGCTATGTTGTTTCCGTTAGTAATAGTTTTTTATTAACGACCGCCGTACGCTTACCAATAACGTAGGTTATCGCACCCCGCAATGAACCAAATAGTGCAGATCAATTAAGGCTCGTAAGAGTTATTGCTATCGGAAATTAATCAGTGTCGCATTTCAACGTTTCTTTCTACGGTCGCTCGGAGCAACGACATTCATTAAGTCTCGTCTTTTATTGCCGCCTTATTTGCTCGATAAGAGTCAACGTACTCGGTGGCGTGATTGACTCCCCGTCGCTAGGGTTACCATTTCCTAACTTGACGAGTTCCTGCAAAAAGCTAGACGGACAAAAGTATCGATTTTCGTTTATTCAGGTATGGTGACTTACGTCCGCGCCGAGAGACTTTAATTAGCATTAAGCTAATTAAATAATTGCATTTAACTAAAGCATCACACATCTCTGATGTATATGTTATATGGTATATTTACCAAGACATACCATGGCTACTATGTTTTTCCACTTATTTTATAGGTTTTCGACGTATCCGTAAGCCCTTAGATGTGGCAAATGTCCTTGGGCGGCGTTTATCACTTAACATCAGGTGAACCACCAGCTCGCCTGCCACCATCTTACATAAAAAACCCACAAAAAATTACTATTTAATATCCCATTTGTCTATTTCTGTTTTTTATACTAAATTACAACTAAGCCGTGTGGCCTTTAATGGTTGTTTTATTTTAATGCTTGTTATCAAGAAAGCTTTTTTTATTCTTTAAAATCGAAAAGCTGGCAAGGTCCGACAGACGACCTTAAGTCGAGACACGTCCAAAGACATACAAACGGATGGTCCCATCCCGACACACGATAGCTGCGTATTTAATATTGATTTAAATGCATATGTATCCTTGTTTATTGCCCGAGTTGACACCTCATACGCGTGATATACTACGTCGCGATAACAACAATGTATTCGAATAATATTTAATGCAACAGACAGCTAGTCTAGTTGGTCGGCTTGTCGACACATGTACTGATATGGGCAGTTCTAATCCGACTAGCGTGCACGAATAGGTTTTCCGTTTTACCGAATTGTTTATGGACTCCTCCACTTCGAAACCTCCCGATACTCCAGGTGATTTTCGAATGAAAACAGCTGCCCAAACTTGCGTCGAAACAAAAAACGAGAAAAATTTTGAAAATTTTTACAGGCAGACTAACTATACAAAACGATTGGAAAACGTTATATTATAGGTTTATTAATTTCGCCAAAGACGTGTTCAAATTGAATGCAATGTGATTTCTAATAGTAATTTTTTTTAAATAAATTTTACCAAGGTTTATTTCAAGTTTAATTTAAAGTCGCGTACTTCCATTCTGTCATAATTCACGATAAATTACTCTCTTGTATCATTAACTATACATATGGGCAAAGTAAGCAGTAATATATTGCGATTCAGACCAAATATTTACTCGTAAAACGGATTGGACACGTTTAACGCTCAATTAATTACATTTATCGGCAACAGGCGTAACGCATAAATAAAACGGGTTGGCCAAACGTTGCGGTTAACGTTACTCATCGACAGCTGAACGACCCGCTTTCCGATAAACCGCAAAGAAAACTGCCGAGTAAAAAAAAAGTAAAGTAACAGCCTATACATGTCCCACTGCTGAGCAAAGGCCTCCTCTATACAGAGGGTATCAGGGCATAGTCCACCACGCGGCCCCACTGCCGATTGGCGAACTTCACATATATTCCAAATATTTTTTTTGTTATTATTTCGAAAATATCCAAGTTTCCTAACGATGTTTTCCTTCACCGCGCGACCACGTGATAAGTAAGCACTTTAAATTAAAAAATTTCATTGGTGCCGGCACCGGGGATCGAACTCACGTTGTTCGAGTATATTGAATTAAAGGCAAGCGCCCGGACAATGATAATGCGTATTTTAAATATGGTAACGGCGTACGTGATTATAAATAAGGATCGATTCGCTGCTTAAGTGCGGTTATGTAGACTGTGACCGCAGTGGGGATTGTTCACCTCGCTAACGGCCAAGTGGTCGCGGCCACAGTCTACAGGACAAGATGGAAGTGTGTTAAGAGGCTGTAACGGTAAACGAACTGGTCCCCCCCTCCACTTTGCAAACCTCATACGCGTTTTTTGCGTCGTTAACTTTAACCCGCTACTGTTGTTCGACTTCGTGTGAACTGTGTCATATCTGTATAGCGCATTAGAGGTTATTGCCGTACATTAAATTCTCGCGAATTTCATCACAGCTCAGCTTATTTCGAACACGTGTCACATTTGAATCCTTCAGCAACGGAATAACTTAAAAAGTTAATGTAAACTTAATAACTATTTTGTAACCAAAGCCCCGTTGTCTGTCTTTTTCGTCAGGGAACTTGGCAATAAACCATAATATTGCACCCATAAACTTTACCCAACTTATGCAACGTTGTAGGTTATATCCACGCGGTTAGTCGTGCAGAAACTACCAGGATCACATACTTTTCGACGATGTAATAGTAATGCTATAAGTATTTAAAATTTCATTTTAATCAACCCGATTAACGTAGTGCATAGTGCACCTGTCCCTTGTACCAAAGGAGTGTGGTTTTGATCATCACCACTGGAAAAATATTGTGTGATCAACATGGTATTTTGGAACGTTTCTTGAGGTACGGAATTCTCAATGCTTCTGCCGTGGCAACTGGTAATTACTTTTTCACATTTACATAATTATCATACAAAGTTAGGCATTTAATTAAACCGTTACCAATTGCATTTTATGCCTTTTTTTTTTTCAAAACACAAAAGAGTACTGGCACACGCGATAAAATTTTTAGTTATTTTTCTTTTGTTACGCTAAAGAAGTATAACTTACACACACATGTGTTTTTCTTAATGGCTGAGTGTTTTAGATACGTATTTTAAGGAAAAGTATGGATTAAGTTTATCAGTTACAGGGACTGGATGTTGTTGTACGTCCTGATGTTTATATATATATATGCTTACATATTTTCTAATTATGTTATACGGTTGGATTGCAGTTTGTACTAGGAGCACATATGCGGTCGGAGGCTTATGCTTGTGTTGTTTGTCCGCAGAGGGTGGCGGGCGCGGGCGGGGAGCGCGGGGCGCGGGGCGAGAGCGCGCGCGGCAGCTGACCGGCGGCGCGCGGCTCATGTGGGCGGCCGGCGCGTGCTGCTCGCGCCAGCCAGGTGACAACGCCGGTGATGGTGAGGACCGAACGGGTGGACGCTTCTAGAACATCGAACGCTATAGACGAGCTTACACGATCGACTCGATCAAAGTACAATTGGATAAAGTACAAGTGGGAAACCTTTTATAGAACTCTACTTGGATACCTTTTACCTGTACCTTAGTTAGTACCTTGACACTAACATCAAGTTCGCTTGCATCATTTTCTTTGATCTCCTAATTAAATTAATCATCTGTAACAGTCAAAATGACAGATTTTTTGCACTTGACACCATTTCATTTATCAACTGACATCCACATAAGCTATGAAAAGTTGAACGCGGTACACGTCCAATTTGATTGGACGCCGCCATCCAATGCACTACGACCAGTATTGCCACAATCAAAGCAGCGTCCAAGTAGTCAAATTTTCTTTGTCCAAGTTTACTTTGATCGCGTCAACGCGGCTTTACACACAACGAGACCGTTTGAAGGCCAGAAAAGGCTGTAGACGAGACGATGCGTCTCCTGTTCTTGTCCGATGATTAAATTGGAAGGTAACTTGGCTGTCAGTTGAAGGCGGTAGAGACCTCGATAATGATCCATTTATAACTGGTGTTTGCGTGAAATTTGTGTGCTTAAAACGTCCAATACAGTTACGGCGATACGGCGATGATGTTCAAAAAGCGAAATACTAGGCTAGCTGATCAGGTCCAAGTACGGTGTGATGTTGTTGGTGGTAATGATGCTCATGGGAATAGTGATAACTAAACAAGATGCTAATAGTGATGAATGGCGCGTAAAACATTGTAAATTATGTAGAGCATACAATATTTTTGCTAAGTGAAGTAGTGATTGCATCATTGGTAAAAGAAAAAAATGACGCGTTCAAAATTGTGAATACCTTTTACCTGTACCTGTGTGAAGGGTTCTTTCACTATTCGTTTATTCCTTGACAATAAATAAATTACCCAGTTCAAAGGAAGATTTGTGCAGAACTAATGTATTTAGCAACGTGACAACGCTCTAACTTTAAGTCGTCATTTGTCGTTTTATATGATATTTTTAACAATTACTATTGTGGTTGCGTTAATTACGTGCTAATTATATCATCGCTTATTAGATGTTATTGATCATACAAACTGACGATGTTATTCAATGGATATAAAGTGATTTGAACATTGTGTTATAAATTTAAATTTTAAGTTAGTAAATTTTAATTTTTATACAAAGTTACGTGTTGTTAAAACACCGCATGAGTCCTGTTGCTTCGCGTCGCGTGCACTATATGATTAATCGGACATTTTTTATGTCTGCACTTCGAGGATACTGAGTACACTAAAAAAAAACATAGTAAATGTGTAATTATCCCGACCACTTGAAATTCGTTAGGGTTAATTAGCGATGAAGTATTAATTAACTTACGATAAACTGTGTAATTTTAAATAAGAAAACTAGGTATATTCATGAAATTTATTCGCCCTTCTCTTATTTTAAACTATATCGATTAATAGAAATCATTTCCTTTTCTTATTAGCGGAAAACATAAAACGTCCATTACGCTTCTATTAACTCCACCTGGCCAGCGATTTGCCAAATTTAAAAGCACTTTTTTAAAAGCCATTTGATTTTGCCCTTCCTTAAATCTATAACTATATAAAGCTTACTCTGACCCCCTGAGCGATCGTTACGAGCATGTGATACTTCTATTCAAAATTAAAAAGAAAAAATGAACTTTGTTGAATACCCGAAATATAAAACAGAAAAAAATAGAGCTTTGTCGAACATACGAGTAGTGCACCCGGTGAAAATTGTAAAAGAACAAAGAGAAAAAAGGTCTCCAGCATTCGTGACGTAGTGTACCCGATGCGAATAGTTTGAGAAGTTATAGGGGGCGTTATAGAACATTCGCGAAGTAGTGCACCCGATGCGAATAGTTTGAGATGTAATAGGGGGCGTTGTCGAACATTCGCGACGTAGTGCACCCGAGGCGACTAGTTTGAGAAGTAACGGGGGGCGTTGTAGAACATTCGCGAAGTAGTGCACCCGATGCGCCCCCAACTGAGACGGGGCTGTGTGTTAGCTAGCAGGCACTCATGCGTGACGGGGTGACTAAACGTGGCGGGGTGGCAGGCGACGGGGGCGCCGCGGCGGCGCGCGCTCCGGTCAAGACCTTCCAGGCGTACCTGCCGCCGGCGCACCGCACCTACAGCTGCATACACTGCCGCGCGCACCTGGCCAGCCATGACGAGCTCATCTCCAAGGTAACCGTCCACCATGCGTATTTACGAGTATGTATAGTCTCTGTTATCAATTCAGTGTTCACCTTTACCCGACACTACTGCTTTTATTATCTCCTTTTACTAGGTTGCCTGGAAGAAATACGCTTTTTAACGATAAGGCCGCCTATTGTACAGTAGTGTTTTATTTTTTGTAGATTATTCAATATCCGTTGTTAATGTACAATAAAGGTTATTTCATTCATTCATGCGACCAACGTTCACACACATACATGAACACCAAAGCAGGACCGCTGAAGACTTGGCAGATCCCGGACCTGGTGTATGCTTCGACTTACACAAAACGCATTGTTTTACTGCTTATATGTTCACCGTGGTCTGTGGATTTACGCTTCCCGCAATCCTTAAACTCCTAATACACCTCTTCCACAACCGCAGATGTGTTAAAGCGTGCTCTCATTCAAGCACGTTTTAATTTTTGCTAGCGTTTGCACATGGATACTGTTTTTTTACTGAATGTATATATTTGAACAAAAAGACGGATGACAAATTCACAAGGGTTTCCCGTACTTTGCGAATACTTCACGTACATAATGTCAATAAATAATTAAATTTTACGTGGTCAAACGCATATAATTTTAATTTTTAACCCTATACGGACCGTGAAAACTAGACCATAGTCATTACAACACAAACGTCCAGGTTCTCGGGACAGATGTTATTTACTTAAAAATTCGAAATAAAGATTGATTAAGTTTAAGTTCTTCGACATAATTGCAATGGACCTTTTTTTATAAATTTAAAATTTTTCCAAATTGCTTTCTTAAGTTTACTAAAAAGAATACTAAGAAGACTGATGAAATCTTAAGGTTACCTTTAAATAGAATTTAGAGTTTATAAAGCGATAAAGTTCGGTGCCGGGGTAGTGGGCTCAATTCCCATCCGGTCCATGTATTTGTGTGACGTACAGATAATTCTTTAAGAAATCTGGGTGTTAAACATAGTTTTATTTGCGTTTGTGCAATTTTATCCTAAAGTTCGGGTAATATTCTTTAAAGGAAAAGAAAAAAGAAAAAAATAAAAATCAATTCTTTCTTTTTTCAGTCGTTCCAGGGCAGTCAGGGGCGTGCGTATCTTTTCAATTCTGTGTAAGTATATCTTTTTCTTTCTTACATGCCATAATGTCTAGCCGTCTTGCTTTTTTCCCCCTCTATTTTTCTTTATTACTTGTTCTGGCTGACCATTCACTATACCTATTCTACAAATCGTCATTTACAAATACAATTGAAAGACTTTCAATGAACCACAAATGTGTGGAAAATTGAATGACGAAGAAATGAATTTTCTTGAAAGATTTTTTTTTATTTTGTGCAAGATCGTTGACAAGTTGATGTTCAATGTATAGACAAAACTGTCATAAAATTTTTAGCCGCAACCGGGATTCTTAGTTTCTGTATAAGTGCAGAGATAATATAAGAGAAATAGTCCATCACTAAAATTTAAAATTGATAGTTTGATTAAAAAAATCGTCCCGTCATCATACCATCTTTATTGTGTCAATTTTTTTTTTCAATTTCTAAGTTTTTATTAGAGCGGTATACCTTAAGTAACCTTTTTAAGCTTTTTGTTCTTATTGCGCCACAGAGAAAATGTCCAAATTTCGTAGGTACCATAAATTAAACAAATGTCACATTTTTATGTATTTCTATTTTGAACCCACGACTACTGACTTTGAATTTATATTAAACCGAGCGGAATAGGCTAATGTATTAAAGCAGTTGTTTTAACGCAGTTGGCTTTTTTGATTAATAATATTCCAAGATAATATAATGACTCCGTGCGCATTTGCCAAGATATTGGCTTCGGCGTCGGGGGTCGTTGGTTCGATCTCCACACGGGACAAGTATTTGTGTAACCGACACATAGTCGTTTCGCATCTGCATGTTTGTCCGTGTGAAATTTATGTTTAAAAAACGTCCTTACAACATAGGATAATGTTATCCTAAAGTAACGGCAATATTTAAAAAAAAATAGAATTTATAATTGCTATAAAACCAAGGACGTCGAAGTGGTGTGAATAAAATGAAATCACTTTGAACTAGTCTCCTATACTAAAAACCAAAACAACATTCAATAACTATAATGTCATACACTTACGCCCATCGTTTCTCATTCTGATCATTATGAAGATCGTCTGATCAATTCAGAGTGTTTAACCATCCTTTTGGTAATTCAAATGAAGTTTGAAAAGCCGTATGACAGTTGATTAGTTAACTTCTACAATGATCAGTGTTTCAGAAACCGAGCATTGGCTGCTCTAAATGCCACCGTAAATAGGTTTGCGTCTTAGCGTCTTAGCTTAGATCATACGCGTAAACTTCGCGATATTTCACACTTTATAAATAGTTCGAGAATTTCTCCGGCGGCCTTGCACGAAGCACGTATGTATGACTGGATGATGCATGTATCCTCGAAGTTTTAAAGTTCACAGAAACTTTTTCGATTTGTATTAAACGTTATACTTGAAGCTAAGTGATAGTAGTTTTAAATAGGTGAATCCTCGCGTTTTTCGCCGATACTAAAGAGTATAAAGTTAAAAAAAAAGTTTTTGTTAATAGAAAAGATTTATAGATTTTTGAAAGAAGTTTGTCTTGATTACTTTCTAAGTAAAGTTCACATGAATACCTTTTATATAATCCACCAGTCAGGATGTTTCGAAATTACTCTGGTGTCATGTTTGCCTATTTTCTACTGTAATATTAGTATATTTTCAAATTATGTGAATACTTAATTTATTGCAATAAACAAAGTATTTTTTATTGGAATTTTAGCAAAGCGATAAAGATCTTCACTAAATCGAATAATTCGCCGTAGCAAAAGAACTTATATCAATCCACAACGCGATAAATCCGTAAAAATTAGTTTCATTTATAACTTTTGAAAGTAAAAAATCAATTGTCTCAATATTTGTCCGACTTTTCACTTTGAGTTTTCTACGTCCCGGTGAAAGTCCTTCTCGGGTCATCGCCACATAAGTCTCTATGGTACAATAATCCGTTAATGGCATTTCGCCTTGTGACATGTCGCTTTCTTTTCACGCAGACGTCACAAAGGTGGTCGGTGAAGATTTCTAGACTCCGAGTACACATAACTTGTTTACTCATAAATTTCAAGATAGTAACGCATAAAAGACCTCATAAGTTTTTTTTTTTAAATATAGGAGCAAATATTAATTTTATTATCAGAGTCATATTACGTAGTAATACTGTACCTGTCTGTATCATGTTAATTTGCTCACAAGTTTCTACTGAAAGTGATAAAATTTATTCGATAAAAATCATAACGTATCGCAAACAAATCTGATATAAACGACATTGAATGTACGAAACTGCATCAATGTTATATAAAAATGCATAAATATTTATTGTTTACTTATCCGCGAAACCTAAAAAAAAATACGATCGACTTTTTATTGGATTTGTAAAACAAAAATAATTTTGCGTACAACAAAGTTATGAAATTATGCTTGCGCTGTAAACATTCAATACTTTCGGGCTTCAAATTTCGTTCCGAATTGAGTCAAAGTTGTTTGAAAGTTCTTTTTATTGTTTTGCAGAGTGAATGTGGGTTGCGGTCCGGCAGAGGAGAGGGTTTTGTTGACGGGTCTGCACGCCGTTGCAGACATTTACTGCGAATGCTGCAAAACGATGCTCGGATGGAAATATGTGAGTGATCGTTTTCGCGCCAAAATAAACGCCATGTTTTTATGAGATGTCATGAGTTGACGTTTCGGTGCTTTTATTGGACGCCAATGTGGTATTTAACGTTAATCGATATGTTGTGAAGGTTATTCTTATTAATAATATAAGTTTGTATAAATGAAAATGATTTCTTCTTTTTACACGGTTACAACTTGTATGTTAAATAGTTTTACCTCAACAACACGCTAAAGATTTCTGTTAAGGTCAGTTTTAGTACTGGTTTTTTTTAATTAAATCAATAGGTTAATTTAAAGAAACACTATTTTATTCAAATATTGTAGGATTAAACTGAATCCTTTTTGTAGAAATAGCGCGCACTTTAACACACGTCTCCCTTAAATTATATTAATACCACCACGACCATTTGCAAATATGATAAACTTATAAAATAATACGTACCCTCGGGGGAGGCGAACCGAAAAATAATATTATTCACTAACTTGCTTTAAAAGATATGTGGCATGCAAATGGCAAGTGGTTTTGGCTTTTGTTCAACAGTGGACGTCTTCTCGCTGACGATGATGAGTGACAAAAGATAAATCCGCTTTAAAGAATTTTTTGCACGTCTTCGTTCTTTAGGGCTCTTTCAATTTAGACGTTAGTCGCCCTGCTCTCGGACGATGTTTTTTTTTTTAAATACAAATTATTATTGTTATTTATGTTGCTCTTATTGCACGATGTCACGTTATAACGTTTCTAAACACTTGACCCATAATTATGTTTTTAAAATTGTTTGCAAATAAAAATTGTATTCCTTTTTTATCACTTTAATGGAATGCTCAACTAAGTAATTTATTGTTTTCAATTTAAATTTCATTCATTTGATTATATCAATGTGTATTACGAAAACGACTTTTTAACGTCATTGAATAACACGGGTGCACGAAGCCGTAACAGTTTTTAAATGTTCCACGTTCGAATTGTAAAAAGTGGCGCGTACAAACTTATTAAACGCTCGAACACATTGAATCCGTTTTGTAATGCAAATTCCCTTTCTAGGAGCACGCGTTCGAGTCGAGTCAGAAATACAAGGAGGGCAAGTTCATAATAGAACTCGCTCACATGGTGAAGGAGAACGGGTGGGATTAAATGCGCGCGTGCCACAGACTATACGAGTGGGGTGCGTGATGGCGGGAAAAAAAAATTGCGTCGACTGTACGGCCGTGAGCGATCGAGGATGAGCGGACGCCGACTGGAGCCCTCGCGATGACGTCATGAAGCGTTCGGCCGAAGCTCACACTCGCGTCGATGGCCCCCGATATATGTTATATTTTTGTGAAACTAATAATTCTTATTCGGAGCTCGGGGACGGTCGATGCGGTGTGCAGCCTTTGTCGGCGACGGCACCCGACGTTACAATATACGCATAAGTTAACGATCTCAGCCCTGACGCCCCTCGCAAGGGCGATTCGGGCTTAGAATTACTATTACTAATTTTTAGTTTTAACAAACGATATTTGTTTCGCCGCCCTCGTGCGGGGAGTATCTTAAGTTGTATTAGTTTATATATAATTCGTCATACTGTATTGAGAGAACACTAATACTTTCTCTTGTCCCCTTTACCTGTGATAAGTACGTTAGTATAGATTTTTTTTTTTGATTTCTTGAACGATTTTTTTTTCAAGAGTTGCTCAGGAATGTCGGGAGTATGTTCCTAATAATTTCTGCTGTACAATTCCGCTTTTTGGTCTTTTTTTATTTTATATTTTCGAGAAACCTAGTCGTGCGAGAAGAATTCGGTAATTTCTCTTTTATTTGCATCAATCAAAGTGATATTTAGATTTAGTTAAAACGATTTTATGACTACAGCTTACTACTTTATTCGTCACTTCTTGCTTGCTCTTGAAAAAATTGTTTCAATGTTTTAATCTTTTATTGATTCGTGTGAGTCGCTCTCTGAGGATTCGACTGAATCAGGTAATTTTTTTATACAGATCGAAATGTTGGGAGTGGAGTTTTATTATTCATTTATTGTTTCTATTACAATGTAAAAATACTAGCAATATTTAACCCTTTATTCTACTTTATTGTAATCTTCATGGTATTTTATTTACGTACCTATAATGATTGTTCGTCTGTGTAAGTATTCAAATGAGCTTCGACTAAAACGTCATTGACAAATTACCAAAACCTTAAAGAATATTTCAAACTTTTAATTACGTAACTCGGCAAATTAAACCAAGATAAGTGACTAAAAACATAAGCTCAGATAATATTTATTCTCTGATCCCATCCGTAGAACATTTGAATTATATGCAATATATAAATTGTATTGAAATATATTATATTTATAACGAGTTACGTAATAAAAGGAACAAAAATTTGACTAAAGCCTAGGACTTAAAAAATATGTCAGTGGATTATAAATAATTGCACCCGACTGCGTAAGTTAAACGATTTTAACCGTCGACAAATTAAAAGGGAAAACGTCTGTATGATAACGGCCATTTTGTTTTAACTATCAATATGGCGTATTTCGATTAATATTTCGTATGTTGTGATGCTCAACTAAGATGCGATGTTATTGTCTTGATGATACGAGACATAATTGTAATCAAAACAGTAATAGAAGCCATTGAAAAGGATATGTATAATGTTTAAGGTATTCGGGTCTTAGTCATATGATGTTGTCATATTATATTGTACGCTACGAACTTTTGCCATTGCCGTGAAAACTGAGCGTTATAACTGCCACTAGTAATATACGTTTGTAATATATATATAAAATTTAATGTAATACAAATTCAACATAAGTGACGCTCGATATTCGAAATTGTTTATTTTTACAATACGAAACAAAAACTTTAAACTGAATCGCTACATTTAGAGTTTCACGTTTTTTCTAGAGAGTAAGACCATAATGCCCTGATAATATTTTCACACCAACTATGTTAGGTACATGATGTGTGATGACAGGAAAATGTATTTGCGACCCGTTTTAATAAAGAATAACGTTTAGCACCTACCTTTACTGTGCACCTTACGATCGTGAAATGTTTAGAATGTTTAGAAGGTTTTAAATGCCTCGCCATTTCTCGGCCGTTCCGTCATAAAATGGGTCTCAAATGAACTAAGTAACCAATACCATCTAATAGTTATTACTGTGCGAATGTTCTTAAAGTTAATGGCCTAACCAAGAAAGAACTGAGATGCCCTGCTAATGGTATGTTGATGTGAAGGATAAGTCATTTCGATACTGCTGTTATCACAGAACAACCCGACTCCACATTTAACTCTTGTATTGTAACGAAAACTGGTTTTGAAATCGATACAGCTAGAATAGATTACTCATAATCCAGGTTCATTACAAAAAGTTTAGATTACAAAAAAAATAATTTTGTAATCTAAACTTTACTGATATATTACCATCTGAAAATTCAACTGTTCTTTTCTCCAACGATCAAGAAAAGTACGGGTTGATTGGGTTGAACTTACGATATTAGTTTTCCATTTATTTTAACGCTGATATCTATAATGTATAGAAGATTAATTGGCATAAATATTCCTATAATACACGCCTGGATTAATTAGAAATGAAAATAAATATTTTAGCGACTATACAACTTAAATTGTTACGTTTAACCTTTAACTTTTAATCCCGCAGAATATTAGATCCGCATGAATAGTTAAACTTCTACTTTCATTAGAATTAAGGTTGAAAGAAAATATATTTCGCCAATTAATTTTCTATAAAACACAATAAATGTCTATTTTAGAGCCGAATTAATACACTTTCTCGGTAGGTTTCGATAAAAAAAAATACATTTTGATGTGTCAATATGTAAAATAGAGATGGAACTTTTCGAGATGGTCTCGATAGATTATATTTAACACTCCTTAAATCCTTGTTATACCTTACCTATGGCGCAGTTCACCAAATAAAAGATTTTTAAAATGAGAAAATTATAAAAAAAGAAACATGCTAGATTTCTGTGAGGCATATTTGACATATTTTTCTACTTGATCGTTTAGGGATGCTATTAGATATTTTTGGACCACTGTTAGGGTTAACTGCGATCAGTATTTGAGAAGGATAGACAGATGAAATAACGTTAGTTTTCGTGAATGTTGGCCGAATGTGATTGTTGTTGTCGAGGTTTAGAGGTTAAAAAAAAAAACGCTTTTCTTAGCTGTAAAACATACAAATGCACTGAATACAATAGCCTAGTATTCCTAGGAGATTCCTAGCCCCGCCTTTAATAACGAAGCTTTTAAGGAGCTAACTTACAGTACAAGCCTATTATATTCCAGAGTCCATACAGATACAGGCATCCTTTAGGAATACTTGGAGTGTCAGTGGAGTTGAGTTTCATTTACGATTCACACCAATTATCGTTCGACTGAGTCCGATCATACTACTAAAATAATAAAATACATACCACCAGCGTACTTATCGAAGTTATCAAAAGCCTGCAGATATTATATTACAGATACAGGCATCCTTTAGGAATACTTGGAGTGTCAGTGGAGTTGAGTTTCATTTACGATTCACACTTGAATATGATAATTATCGTTCGACTGAAGTATTTGAACACGATCATACTACTAAAATAATAAAAATACATACCACCAGCGTTAACGTTCATGTGTACAAACTTATCGAAGTTATCAAAAGCCTGCAGAAGTAACCTACACTTAGGGTTGCCAACTGTTTTTTTTAAATTTTTCGAGTAGGCAAAAAAGTAGAAAAAAGTATTCCTCAAAAATGTCTACTTTTTCTCTCGAACACATATTTCGTGTAAATTAATCAATTTTCGTGTGCTTCTAGAATACTGACAGTTTTTCATTATGCTTAAATAAAGTATTTAAGGATAATGAGAAACTGGCCGGATATAAAGTATTTTCACGTACTTTATTTTTATGCAAAAGTATATTTGCCAAAAATAAAGTAGGATACGTTTTTATAAAGTATGGATGGCAACCCTACTTACACTACTACATAATTTGTCCATTACAATTAACATAATGACTAGTGAAACTGTATTACTATGAACATCATATGTAGTCTGTTCAGCTGTGAATTGTGTGAACATTGACCAGTGCATTTCGTGAAATGTGTAAAATTTGCATTATAAAAGGTAAGGTGAACCAGTAGCGTTTACTAAGAAACCGCTTAATATTTTTGTATTTTCCTAGTATGTAACGAGGCATTATAAAATTTGTGGTGTCTTTTAATGATCGTGTATGCATTATGCTATAGATGATGTATTTCGTAAAAACATTTGGTTGAAATAATAAGTGCGTAATAAAACACTTTTTTCATATTAAAATAATTGGTATTTTTATTTCCATCTTAATTTTTAGTAAAACCATACACGAGTACTCTGGTAACTGTCGTTAGAAAAATAAACCAATTATAACGGTTTTTAAATTGATTTTACAAATTTGTAACATCTTTTTATCAAAAATATGGACTAATTTTCGTTTGCTCTTTCACATTCAAAGCCTTAAATAAAGTTGGTTGTTTATAGCTTGGCTGTAATGATAAAAGTTGCTTTGATTTGTTTTATTTAAAACTTCTATAAGCCTATCCCACCTACATACCAATTAACTCGCCAAGCGCGGTGTGCGGGGGAAGGGTATTTGTATAAAAAAAATGCTGATGCTTATTTTATGTATTATTTTTTTCTGTTTAACTGGATAGTTACGCATAATATTTGCGAATAAGACTGAGGAATAAGAAAAATTTAGACTTTATTAAATAAAGGTCCATGGCCAGCAAATGTCAAACAACACATCAGAAGCGTTCTCAACGGCCGACGTCGAAGTCACTCCACAATGTAATAAGCATCGCCCAGGGGAGAAGACTTGATCCCCAATATCGCTTGTCCCAAATAAGCAATACATTCTCCTTGATTTGCAAAAATCCTTGTTTTCTTTGCAAGATTATTTAGTTTCATTCATGGTAGGGGTTTGCCTATCAAACGGTATTTCTTTATCACCCTTGAGCACAACTTTTGCATTTTTAATCTGCCTTTCCGTCAACTTTGGCAGCGTTTTGAAAAAATTCTGCAACAAACAATTTTTGCTTTCACACTCGCACTATCTAAGCACGTGATAGCTCAGTGGCCGCCTTTAATTCAATATAGTCTAGCAACCCGAGTTCGAATAAAATTGTTGGTTTTAAATGCTCACTTATCACATGCTTTACGGTGAAGGAAAACATCGTGAGGAAACCAGCATATTTTCGAAATAACAAGAAAAAAAATATTTCAAAGATATGTGAAGTCCGCCAATCTTCAGCGGTGGACTTTACCCTGATACCCTCTGTAATTAAGAAGGCCTTTGCCCAGCAGTGGGTCATGTACAGGCTGTTAGTTTACTTTTTACTATCTACGAAATAACACTAATAAGATCACTAAACAGTAATCATTAAAAGAAAATTTAGAACGTAAGGAGGATGATTTGTAAAACTGCTTAGCATTTTAGCCTTAGCTTTCGCTTAAAACGACATAATGATAAATATATAATGATTCATACGATAAATTAATCCAATTATCGTATGAATTTATATGTATATCTTAGATTCACAATATGAACCTTGCAAAAAACTATAATTACAATAAGAAAAACTTTTTATTGTACCTTTTTACTTATTAACTCCATTCCATGTACCTTTTTCATATGGTCCCTGAGGATTGACGTGCGACGAAACCTATAAAAATACATAAATAATAATGCAAATTAAACATGAGTTGTAAATCATTAGCATATCTTTTCCGTTATGTGTGAAGTGTGTAACAATATAAAAAAATTGTTTTTTTATATTGTGAGTTATTATCAATACTAGATACTACACATACAAATAAAAAAAAACTGCTGTCTCTCCACAACAGGTAGGTAGGGTGGAGTGTAGTCACAACGTCAGTTAAAATCTAACCAATATAATGAAATTTATAGTATATTTATTTTTATGTGAATCTCTGAATTGATCAGAATTATCGTCTTAATGATTAGAATGATCAATTCAAAGAGTTTAACAATCCTTTTGGCTACCAAAATAACATTTGAAAAGCCATTTTCAGATAGTTGACTTCTACAATGATCAGTGTTTCAGAAACAGGGTGTTATAGTCACAGAAGGTGTCATATGCCTATGCACTAGATAACCGCAGGTTATGATGACTCCGTGGCGCAGTTGCTAAGGTATCGGCTTCGGCGTCGGGGGTCGTGGGTTCGATTCCCACACGGGACAGCTATTTGTGTGACCCACAGATAGTTGTTTATCTGGGTGTTTATCCGCGTGAAATTTATGTTTGTAAAACGTCCTTACAACACAGGATAATTTTCCTAAAGTAAGGGCAATGTTTAAAAAAAAAAAAACCCAATACTTGGCAATTGGCAAATGGACAGTGACCGATGTAATCTGACCTTTTGGGGCATATTTGGCAGGCGCAGGGGGGTGGCAGTTTGCGGTGGCAAGTGTCCACGTGAGTTTTGCGGGTCGACTTCTGGGGGAAACTCTTTCCGCAATCGTCGCATACAACGTGTTTCTCGGCTGAAAGGGAGATCATGATATAGAATATTATAACATATTATCTTGTATTAACTGATGTTAACACTTTCAGACCCGAGACTATTAAAGCTTCATCGACCGCAGAACCGGTTGGCTAGCCAGAACCCATAGGGGTAACATATTAGTTGGTATTAGTGACCTAGATGTAGGGAAATTGGAACTGCAGTCAAGCTTGGCAGCCATCAATTTCCAGAAAACTGTCCCAGACAGACCATTTCAGGGGTTTATATGTAAAATGTCAATAGCACTGGTAGTTGCAAACAATATTTTTTTTTTATTTAAAACATGCAGCTTAGTTTTTTAATTTTTTTTATGCGAAAAGTTGTCAAACGAGCAGACGGTTCACCTGATGTTAAGTGAATACCGCCGCCCATAGACATCTGCTACACCCGAGGGTTACAGATGCGTTGACAACCTTTTAAAAATTGGGCTTTTTTTAGTTTTTTTAATAAAACAAAAACACTCACGCATGTGTGTGTACATATGCATGACGAATACCCCCTTAATTTTGTAAGTGCGGTTACAGTGATCGCATATATACTGCACATTGCTATGCTTTTTCAAGTGACGCTGAAAACAGAAGCAGAAAAATAATAGTGAAATCAACAATAGTATAGTTCATGTGTTAATCTTACTTTTTCCTCCTATTATCTAATCTGAAGTCCCTACTAAAAGTATCAGACTTACCCATACTTGGAAATAAGGTACTAAAATTGTGCACGCACTTACACATCTCCTCACTGTTGGTGACTATGTAATATGTACCAATGTCCAATATTTATGGTCCACTATACAATATGGTTTAATGGCTTTTGGCTATTATTAGATGTTATATTATAATTTTCACAGTAGAGATTTGGACTTTAATGAAGATAAAAGAAACTATAGTTCACTTTGGATAAAGTTAGGAACAGAATAGATTTAACCTACAGCAAGTGAAGACTTTGATGTGTATGCAGAGGGACAGTATTTGCAATGGAACGGCCGAATCCCAAAATGCAAATATTCGTGGTACATCAGTTCGTTTTTCGATAAGCATTCGGCTGAACACTGATCACAGGAATATCTGAAAATATCACAGTTTGTTTGTTACGCTTTCACGCCAAAACTACTCAACCGATTATAATGAAACTTTGTACACATATACTTATAGGTATACAAAAGGACATAGGATTCATTTTATTAAAAAAAAAAAGATATTTAATTTAAGGGATTCAAGGCGAGCGAAGCCGCGGGCGAAAAGCTAGTATGTATACATATATATATTATGTAATTTATGGAACTGAACTTGTGTGCATGCGATGCATGTATACAGCGTGTCGTTACATTCGCGACAATAAACGAACACAAGTCTAACGCTACTTGCCAATAATCATAAAAAAATAAAAAATAAAAAAAAGGTAATTAAAAAAATATATTTTCAAACAAATTAATTAAATAAAAAAGAAACAAAATTTGTAACATCCTATACAGCTACAACTGACTGATTCATAAATTCATACTGTTTCATTTGTTGCCACAACGTCCCGTAACAAGTCTCTCCTTCTAACAGTATGTTTTATCTTTTTTAAATTTATTCAACCCATTCATATGCTTTGTGACCTTTACAAATGAACTTAACGTTACAGTTTTATTCGTAAGGATGTTTTTAAAGTGTTTGTTTTAGAAAATTTAATAACTCGGTGAATATTGATGTTTAAACAATGTAAATGTTAGATACAATTTTAAAAAGTTGTCCTCTATATGTGTGTTAATTTATTGTCGCGGTTGTAACGGCACGCTGTAAATTGGATTTGTGTGGTTGTCCACGTGAAGAGATTAGTTCGAGAGATTACTTACTTTTGCAAAGATTTAGAGGACGGAATAGGCGGATAGGGACGCTTCTGTCCGTCCCGACCGAGGAAAAGGGCGCGCGCTTTGAGCACCGCGTCCGCGTCAGGCGCTTTGCAACGCTTCTCGTGTTTGTACAGACTTGTAGTACTAAAAGCAAACGACATTTGGCGAACAAGCAGACACTTAATGCAATTTGCGGTTGAATATTTGTTAAAGTAAAGTAACAGCCTACACATGTCCCACTGCTGGGCAAAGGCCTCCTCTATACAGAGGGTATCAGGGCATAGTCCACCACGCGACCCCACTGAGGATTGGCGGACTTCACATATCTTCGAAATATATATTTTTTTGTTATTATTTCGAAAATATGCACGTTTCCTCACGATGTTTTCCTTCACCGCGGAGCACGTGATAAGTCAGCACTTGAAATTAACAATTTCATTGGTGCCGGCACCGGGGATCGAACTCAGGTTGCTCGAGTATATTGAATTAAAGGCGAGCGCCCGGACACTGAGCTATCACGGCTCATCACAATATTTGTTGCCAACCATAAAAGCCTGGGCCGCGATTACCTCACTCAGGCGAAACAGTAAGGTAATAATTAAACTTCCTCCTCTACCATCTCCTCTGAGGAAGTACCAGTTCCCCGAGCCTGCCTATTCGCGCATCGGCAGAAGCTGCCGCGTGGTTCTACCACAGTAACACACAATTAACAACACAGGCATTGGCGTATGTTAAGACGATGTATGTATAGCGTTTTATTTCAACATAATAAACATTGTGTTTCACATCTGATGAGCAATCAAGTCAGGAAAAAACTAGCCAAGTGCGAGTTGGAGTCGCGCACGAAGGGTTCTGCACAAATTCAAAATCAAATACTTTTATTCAATATAGAAGCAATACACTTACTTATTGATGGTCAAAAAGCTACCACCGGTTCGTAAAGAAAAGCCTGAGTGAAATGACAGACCAGCGGGACTTTTTTTTTAATAACATCAAATCAAGACAAGTTTACAAATGTATTAAAGTCAACTTGAAAGAGCCTGGAGCAATCACTTAATTTCCAGGGTGTGTTATCATTTAAAGTAGAATATAATGTAGTTTATAAAACTAATTGATAAATACCAAGCAAATGATGCTTAACAACCACCTTGCATTTGTTGTATGGGAGCCCCCTTATGTTTTTTAGTTTGTTATAGCGGCAACAGAAATACATCATATGTGAAAATTTCATGTCTACCTCTCAAGATTCATGTGATACAGCCTGGTTACAGATGGACAGATGACAGACAGACAGGAGAGTTTTAGTAATAGGGTCCCGTTTTATCCCTTGGGTGTGGAACCCTAAACAAGGCCATTATAGGCTTAACTGTTGCAATTCTTATTGTGATTATGAATTAGTTGTGTATAATTAGTCAATTAATAATAAAAGGTCATACAATACTTGATCCTACATAAAAAATCTTTTAAATTATTACTCAAGTATACATAAAACCAACCTCCTAAAATCCACTCCACATGCATAGCACATCAGGTAGCAAGGCCCATGTTTCTCTTGATAGTGACGCCCAGCAGCGGGTATTGATTGTGACATAGCATGGCAATGTATGCATCTGTGAAGAAAGTTAAAAATCAATAATTTTTAAACAAGAAAATCATTGCAATGTACCTTTTACTGTGGTAGGGACAAGTAACGGCTTCGTCTGTTGCATGAATGGGCAGGTCCATCCGGGTAAGTACCACAACCTCGTGAAGTGGAAGTGTTATACTTATGCATTCGCCTGGAGAGGCAGGTACCCGGGCCTGTGAGGTGGCAACGCATCTGCAACCCTACAGGTGTTTGTAAATGTCCATGAGTATATTATAATATACAGCGTGTCGTTACAACCGCGACAATAAATGAACACACGTCAACGCTACTTGCCAATAATCATAAAAAATATAAAACGTTAAAAAAATCCATAATTAAAAAAATATTTTCAAACAAATTAATATTATTAATAAAAAAGAAACATAATTTGTAACATCCTATACAACTACAACTGACAGATTCATACATGCAGACTTTTTCATTCCTTGCCACAGCGTCGCATTACAAGTCTCTCCTTCTAAAAGTATGATTTATCTCTTTTAAATTCATTCAACCCATTCATTTGCTTTGTGACCATTAAAAATGAACTTAACGTTACAGTTTTATATGTGTGTTCTAAAAATGTTTGTTTTGTAAAATTTAATAACTCGGTAAATATTGATGTTGAAAGAATGTAAATGATTAATACAATTTTAAAAAGTTATCCTCTACATGTGTGTTCAATTATTGTTGCGGTTGTAACTACACACTGTATAGCCCAATTTTATCAATTATTACACAGATTATATAAATAATTGCCATTGATGACCCATTTGTGGGGACCTTCCTTTTTTTTGATACTATGCTAGTTCAAACTGTAAATTTGGTAATAGAGCTCTTCTTATGGTATGGCTCATGGCTGTGCCATTTTAATTTTAAATTCAAACTGACAAATACATCTGCAAGTTTGTGTAAAATAATTAATTTTTTGTGCATTGGTCATGAAAAGGAAGATAGAATGATAGACAATGGGGGTATGTGGCAGAAAAAGAGAAACATCATGCTCAATAGTTGTTATAGTACAGTGGCATAAACTGGTGTTGATTTCTACATTAAATTAAAAATACTGTTGTATCATAATTTTTTACAAATACTATTATTTTACATTTTTTGGCTATGACTTGCATTTATGATTTTTAATATTTAACTACAAAACCATTGGTTAATATTTACATGTTCCCTATTTTACTACAATAGATTTTTTCTTCTATAGATCAAATAGAATATTAATTATATTTATTTAATGTCATACACTTAATGTCATAATTAAGTGTAAATGAAAAATTAAAATTTTTCTAAGCCATTCTTAAAGCTAGCATCCTTTGCTTTATGATGGCTATTATATCTCAGTACAATAAAATATATAAAATGGTAAATAATACTTACTCTAGCATTATGCCATTCATAATATAATAATCTAACGGTGGCGGAGGAGGATTCACAGTTTTCATGATCTCTGCCAATGTTTTGATTAGGTTATTTTTATCGTTTTGAAGTTCGGGATACTGCTGTTTTAGTTCCTGAACAAGAGACCTTTGCTGCCATGGCTTAACCATTCTGGTTCTTAGTTTCTCTCTACTTTCCTTGTAGTTTTTGTTTTCAAACTCATTTTCTTCTTTTACTTCAGTTTTAATATCTGTAACACGACTGAATTCATCTTCATCGCCTATTATAACAACTAACATGTCATCTTCTTGCTCCATGACGTAAATTTCTAAAAAAATTCATTATTTGTAATGAAAAGCTAGCCATAACAACATTTCTTTCTATTGTACATTTACCAATTTAAATATTTATTTACAAATTGAAGTTATTATTATAAAAATACGGCTTCGGATTTCTGCATACAGACAGTCCTCATTAGTTATACTAAATTACCAAAGAGACTAATATAAATATATTAACCACTAGGTACATTTTGGTTTTATCTTTAGAATATCGCCATTTTTTCACTAATTACTAACACAAAATAGAACACATATTAATAATAAGAAGTAAGTACTCAGTACTCATACTCACTACTCTATTACTCTATCCATGCCCTGGCAACTTAGAACAAAAAAATATTAGTGTTAAAAGTGCCATCTATCCGTGATACATAGAGTTTTTTATTACAGTGTTACCATTTTCTTGCAACTATAGTTGGTTAATTTGTCATAAATATTTAATAATAATATATTCTCGACTTTGGTGCGTAAAAATTCATTTTCTTGTTTTAAATGAATAAAATGATTTTTGTAGTAATATTTAATGCAATTATATCTTTAAAAAAATTTATTGATGTCAGACTTAATGGCAGCAGTCATTGTTGCCCATTGTTGGCAATGGTAACTTTTCGTTAACTTAACATCACAAGGGCCTAAAGGACTTGATTCCAGGGCCGTTAAACTAATAAAAAAAAAAAAAAATTAACATCACAAGAAAATTTTCTGCCGGTTTTTACATGCGTGTGCATAATTTTCTTGTATTTTATCTATTTTGTTGATAACTACGTTGAGGTCCGTATAATTACGTCGAGCTCCGTATCAGGTAGTAACATACTATGTTACTAACACATACAAAAAACACTAAACAATGGTAGGTTGGTAGGATTAACTAATTTGTGATGGTTACATGCAGATAGGCCCTCCGTTAGAAGTTTGGACCGCTTATATCTCAGTGTAGTGCTATTAAACATTTTTCACAATGCCCCGGAACGTTTGCTGTGTTCCTGGATGCCCGAATAGATCAGAAGACGGTAAGCTCATTAACACGTGGTAATAATTATACGCTTAGGCCAGACCGGTTCGCTCATAAAACTTATCGTTATATTATAACGTTACAAAACTGTATGTTAGTCATTAATTCTATTTGTAAACATTTTCAATATTTTTAACGTATACTCATATTACTAACACCCACTTTGTTATTTCATATGTTGTCAATGTTATGTACACCGTCATTTTCATATGTATCAGCAATAAGTTTTTATAATCAAATCAACTATGTAAATGTCCAATGTATATGATGTGGTTGTACTTTAAATAAATAAATAAATAACGTGAGTTGCAATATGTAGATGTTAAATAATTTTAAGAATAAGGTAGAGAATACAATAAAAGTCATTCTTTAAACAGTTAGTACATTTACCCATTTATCAAGGTACTATTTATTTTATTTTCCATTTTACAAAACTAGATTATAAATCACATAATAATATAGCTTCTCAATTTAACTTTAATGTGTTCCTCTTCATTACTTCCCAAACCCTGACAGAGATGCTGAAAGGTTTCAAAAATGGGTCAGTACCATTGGAGGCGATATTGTTCATCTGGAAAGCACCACTATCTACAAAACTTACAGAGTCTGTAGACAACACTTTAAGGAAGCATTTCTGTATCCTAAAAACAGACTTTGTAAATTAGCTGTTCCATCCTTGCTTTTACCTATTGAAGGAATATCAGGTAACTATAAGTATTGATGTTTTTATTTTTAAATATCATATTTCTCTAATGACACATCATTGTCTTATTGCTTCTCTTCTCACATATGTGATAGTATTAAGATAGATATATCTTAATACTTTCACATATGGTAATATGTGAAAGTATAATAATCCCAGTAAACTAGGGGTGGGGGGACTCTTTGAGACTTAGAAAACATTTGTATCTAAATATTTTCTCATGGAAACTGCCAATATTTATGAAATAATTTAAGAATTGTGATTATGCTACAAATGAAATGAGTTTAAATAATTAGTTATTACTTAAAATTGCTTCAAAGATTTCTATAAAATCTAACTACTTGGATATTTTATTTCTTTCATCATATTATAATTCCATTTTTCAGCATCAAGTGCAGACCAGTTGCTCCCAGACCAACCATCTACATCTCACAATGTCACATTGTGTCTTTCTAATAAAGAAAGACAGAAACCTATCCGAAAAACTGTAAAAAACAGGCCACATACTTCAGGTATGCTTACTCATAAGAAAGTAAAAATCTAATGAATTTCGAAAAAAATACTGAATGGCGTAGTGGGTAGTGTACCTGCCTCCTGTGCCAGACGGTGTGGGTTCGATCCCCACTACTGGAAAAATATTGTGTGATGAACATAGTGTTTTTCTAGTGTCTGCGTGTTTATATACGTATAATATGTATTTATTTACAAAATAAAAGTATGTTTATCAGTTTTCTAGTACCCATAGTACAAGCTTTGCTTAGTTTGGGACTAGAGAATGTTGTCCTAAAGTATTTATTTATTTATAAGTATTTATTTTTAAATTTGAATATGCTTTTATTTCTTCGAATATCTCCCATAGAAAGCTGTATTATCAAAGTTTAAAACATTTCAAAATGTGTACTTTACGTAATCGTAGAACCATGGCTGATTTGTCTTTTCTGCATAAATTGCTTAATGGTAATGTTGCATGCCCCTCAATAGTTGAGAAAGTAAGCCTCGTAGTCCCCTACAAATATCCTAGATCTCATATTACCAAACTATTTTACATTCCCCCGTATCGCACCAATTTAGGACTGCATAAGTCATTTTCAAGAATTTTGTCTGAATACAACTATTTGTCTGTATCAAACACCGAGCTGGGTATTTTTAACGATTCACTTAACGTTTTTAAAACGAAATTGTTTTCATTATTAGCATGTTAGATTTCACATATCAATTTACTAATCTGCAGGCATATTCGACATCTTTTGTAAGTTTAATTTAGTCTACTGATAATTTATCTTTAGTGTCCACTTCCTATTTTTTATTTTTTTATTTTAGTTTATAAGTGTGATTAACTCTTTATCAATGTTGTGTATACCTGTAATAGGCATATATATATAAAAATTGGCCCTATAGCAAAGAACATATAAACAATATTATATTTTATGCTGTTGGTGTACCTAACAATAAATAAATAAATAAATATGTAAAATATTATCTATTGTGTGTAATAAAAATTATCTATTGATTTAATCCTTGACTAATGATTCAGACTAGGATTGCCAACTGTTTTTTGAGAAAAATAATGTATCACATTTTTCAAGTACGGAAAAATAAAGTATTTAGAAGAAAAAGAAAGTATTTTTCGAAATTTTATATATTTATAATTTATTTATCTTCTCTTGAAGACTATTTTTGTGTGCCAGCACACAGAAATTATTTCATTATCCTTAAAAAGAGTTTTTAAGGATAATGAAAAACTTGAAAGGAATATAATATTTTTACATACCTTATTTTTATGCAAAATTGTAAAGTATGTTTGCCAAAATAGAGCAGAATACGTTATTATAAATTATGGTTGGCAACCCTAGTTCAGACATCTATTTTTTATTCATCTATCACTCATTTCTTGTACTTGTGTAGCATTTACACACACAGGTTATTATATCATGATTATTTATTTATTAAAACACTTAATTTTTACCTAAATTACAGTAATTTTTTCATGTTTACAGAAACATACTTGAAAAAAAAAATTAATGAAAATAAAGTGAAAAAGCTGCAGTTCAGGCTTCAACAATGTCTGAAAGGAAAACAAAAATTTTATAAAAGATATCTGTTAGCAAAAAAGGTATTAAAGACTAAATGTTTGGAAGTATTGACAAAATACATGTCACCAGCAGCCAAAAGTTTGTTTACATGCAAATAAAAGGATTTAAAAAAGAACCTAGAGGAAGGAGATTTACCATTGATGAGAAAATTTTAGCATTATCTCTATATAAGCCATCTCCTAAAGCCTACCGCTTGCTTAGTCAAATATGTGTAATGCCAAGTCGAAGAACATTGCAGAATTTACTGCCAAAAATTTATTTATTGCCTGGCATCAATGAAAATATTTTCAAACACCTAGAAAACAAGGTGTCGAAAATGCCAAACAAACATAAATTTTGTTCCATATTGTTTGATGAAATGTCAATAGGAACTAATTTGCATTATGACAGGGCACATGACTGTATTACAGGCTTTGTTGACAATGGCTTTGTTGACGAGAATTAATATATGCAGACCATGTACTTGTATTTATGGTGAGAGGCATTGTCAAAAAATACAAACAGCCAATAGCCTATAGTTTTTGTTCAGGTACAACCAAGACAGCAGATCTAAAATTTCAATTCAAAAATGTAATCGAAAAAGTTCAAAAGATAGGCGTCCAAGTTGTTACAACTGTCTGTGACCAAGGGGTAACAAATCTTGCTGCAATTAAACAACTGATGGATGAGACCAAGGAGAAATACTTACGTAATAATATGGAATATAGAGGAGGATTTTTTGAAGTGGCGAGTTTGAAAGTTGTACCCATTTATGATGCACCACATTTAATAAAGGGTGTACGTAATAACTTATTGAACAAAAATTTAAAATATATTGAGGATGGCCAGGTACGAATCGCGAAATGGACACATGTGGAGAATCTTTTTTTAAGAAGCCCTACCTTTATGGGTGTAAAGTTAGCCCACAAGCTTACTGCTCAACATGTGGTACCGAAAATAATACCGAAAATGAAGGTCAAATATTGCACCCAGGTATTTAGCAAGTCTGTTAGTGTGGCACTTGGATTTTTAGAAGGTATGAATAGTTTATCATAAACATTAATTATATATATTAATTATGTATATTTTTTTATGTGAGAAAGTGGCAAACAAGCTGGCAGTTCACCTGATGTTAAGTGATAACCGCCGCCATGAACAGTTGCAATATCCATAGGATTGCAAAGGCGTTGCCACCGTTTAATAAAGTGGGCCCTGGCTACCTCACTCACCAGACGAGACGCAGAAGTGTAACACTTCTACTGTACGTGGGTCTTTCCTGTTAGGTTGTGGTACTTACCCGGACGGACCTGCCCATTCCTGCAACAGTGAACACTGTTGCGTGGCCCTACCACAGTTCTATATTTTAAATACCATTAATTTTATGTTTATTGTAGTAGGAGAGCTGGCACCAATTTTTGGGTAGGTATTTGGGTGGTGAGTAGTGGGGCTAAATCAACCCTTAACATTTTGAAAATAATTTTTTTGTCTAACATGTTAGAGGCAATATGAACAATTTTTATATGTTGTAGTTTGTTTGTTTTGATTTAAATAATTAAAAAAATAAGCCAGACGATTTAGTCAGGGTTTTGCCAAACGCGTGCAAAAATGTTTTAAAAAAATATATAAAAAATGTATTTGCTAAAAACATAACCATTAAATTACAAAATATTTTTGTATATTGTATTAATATACTTTTGGAAAAAAATAATTTTTAAAACTTAATGGGTTGATTTCGCCCCGCTACTCTCCAGAGAGGTCTCCGAGTTGGGGTATAATAGGAGAGGTATAGGACAAGTTTTCAGCTTGCCTCAAATAAAAGTAAAAAAGTAACAGCCTATACATATCCCACTGCTCGGCAAAGGCTTCCTCTACACAGAGGGTATACCCTCTGTGTAGAGGAGGGCATAGTCCACCACGCGCCCCACTGAGGATTGGCGGACTTCACATATCTTCGAAAATTTTTTTTGTTATTATTTCGAAAATATGCAGGTTTTCCTTCACCGCGGAGCACGTGATAAGTCAGCACTTAAAGTTAAAAACTTCATTGGTGCCAGCAACGGGGATCGAACTCAGGTTGCTCGAGTATATTGAATTAAAGGCAAGCGCCCGGACACTGAGCTATCATAGCTCTTGCCTCAAATGCCTAACAAAAATTGCTGCCAGCTCTCGGAGTATAAGCATTATGGGAATGCCATTGAGTCCTACACATACATTTATTCTTTTTTAACAGCAAAGAAAGAGAATTGTTGTAAAAGAAACTTCAGTACAAAATATGCTTATAAATCAATTTCTAGACCACATAAATGATATTGTCAGGTAAATTTTTCTGGTGGTAAGCGTAGCAAATTACCAACCTGACACTAACGCGAGCGTTAATAAGCGTCGTCCGTGCAACGTCCATATTGACCCGGTCGAGGAAGGGGACCTAAGAATGTTGAACCCACCGTCGGTGGTCCCGCCAGATAACACTACACACATAGTTAGTGCAACGGCAAACACCATAGTTCTTCCTCGACTTCCGAAACCAACACAACGCGTATACTGGATACACCCGGGTTCCAGGGCGGTTCTCACCGCCCTCAGTCACCGACTAACCTAGCACTAGAGAAAAGCGTAGAAACGCATCTGAATCAGATTTCGATTTCAAATATCAGATTTCGAAACTATGTATTTAGATGTTTTACGTTCGCGTATCCACCTTAAATTCATTAAAAAAAATGAGTAAATATTTTTATATTTTGTGTAAGAATTATTAAATTAAATATTATAGTTTAGGGTGGAAGAATTTAAATATACACACAAGACACATAAGCCTTGGCCTGACGTCCACCAATGCAAAACAGAATTATCAAATTATATTTTTATTTTTCGTTTCGTGTAGTTTTTTTTTTTTTTTTTTTTTTTTTTCAAAAATGTGAATAAAATTTAACTCCTTAAAAATTATTCTTCCTTAATTTAGGAAGAAAATCCCTAAGTTGGCATCCCTTACAATTACATGCTTAAGTATCAATGTACTCCAGGTCAAGGCTAAACAAAATTTAAATACAATAATCGTTAATCATCGCGATTGGTGTTGGTATAGCGAGTGAGCGAATATTCGGTACATCAGATTTCGGAAATATCAGATATTGTAAAATACATAGATTTTGAACGAGCCAGTAAGCGATTTTCGGATATTGTACCAATATATAGTTTTCATATCTGTATACGATTTGTATCGCCACTTCTACCAAGCACAGTCAACCTCGATAGACGGTAGACGACACTCCTTAGCACGCATGAGCCCATGCGCGGCTCTACCTACTGTGGAGGGCCTCAAACCCATGGGTTCTGGCTAGCTCACCGGTTCTGCATTCGATGAAGCTTTAATTGTCTTTGGACTGAAAGTGTTAACATTAGTTAATACTACAATAATGTTAGATAAAATCAACACAATAATGGTTCTATTATGGGTTATAGTTTCATATAAATGTTTATCTATAAATTTTTCACACATTTTTTATAAATAAACAATATTGTTTACAGAATCTGGGACCTTGCCAAAGGAGAGCGCAGACACTGCACGTCTATTAATGCTGTTTGACCAATTATTTGACTCAGTAAATGCGAACTTCCACAAAGAAGAAGGGAATATTTATAGATCTGCAGTGACACAAAACTCCCCACATCTGAAGTTGTGGAACTCTGTACTGCCTATTCTTAAATCAATGAGATTTTTAAATAAAGATGAAAAAGAAATAATTGTGCCATCTCTCACCAGCTGGGTTAAAACAATTGAAGGATTTAAACTTATTATAAGTAATTTAAGGTTACAAGGTATAAAATCTTTATTATTGAGAAATATTAACCAAGATCCACTTGAAAACTTTTTTGGAGCTATTAGATCTCATGGTTGCAGTAATGTTATGCCCAACTCACTAGCATTTGGAACAGCCTTCAAAACCCTGCTAATAAATAACTTAACATCCCCTCACTCACTTCAAGCAAATTGTGAAAAAGACGACAGTATATGTCTACAATCATTAAAATCATTTCTATATGGTGATTTTATTGATTGTAGACCTAACTTATTAGCAGAACATGAAAAGAGGAATGTTCCAATTGCATATCTTAATATTGATATTGTTAATACCCAAGAAATGCTAGAAAGTCGTTCTCGAGCACATGTAGAGAAATGTGCTGCTATTGCGTATTGTAGTGGTTGGATAGCCAGCAAAGCTGAAAAGTTAATATTTAAAAAATGTGGTACATGTCAGAAAAATTTGACATCCAAGATAATACTAGATTTTCATAAATTTATAACCAAAAAAGAATATTGTGGCAAACAATGGTTGTGCTATCCAACCCGGGCAATGTTTGACTTTTTTGCCCAAGTAGAGCACATCACAATAAAGATTTTATATAGTGATGGGCATATAAAAAAAGTAGCAGAATTTATTCAATTTATTATAACAATGCACATAGATTTTAATTTTATTAATGATTGCAATGAACATCACAGTATACTAAATAAATTTCTAATTATAAAAAAGTGTGCTCTTTTTCGTTATGAATTGGTGCAAAGAAGTCAGCAATGTCCTCAATGACAAGAGCTATTACAATTTTATTAATTTAAAACAAAATGAAACAGACCAAATTTTCATACAGGCCCGAGAACATTTTAATAAAAGTAAGGGTAGATATCGAGAAAGAATAAAGGCTGACATTTCTAATTTATATTCAATAAAATGATAATATACTTATTTTTCGTATTCTTTACCCAGGTTTCCCTAAGTTTCTGATTTACTACCATAAAAATGCTTGTGGTTACTTGAATTTGTATCTTCTATCATGTTATTTTAATTTATCGATTAAAAAACATTTTGTTTGACTTGAACAAAATTTTGAGTTTTTCAAGTGTATAAATTATAAATTGAATAGTTAAATCTTCTAAAAAAAACGCACTACATTTGAATATAAATAGCTGTTTATGTGTATTTTTAGTTCAGTTTAATTTGATTATTTCATTTACAATAATATTTTGAATACTAGTCGACAAAATAAACAAATGAAATTGAAAGAACTTTGTACGTAGCTATCTAGAAAATATTAAAATATATCGAAAAATATAGTTATATACGTATAGCATATCAAATTTAGTTCCTTGCTTGGCGTCCAGATGTCGCTTTACGTATTATTGACAAAAATGTTGAGTTTCCAGTCTATAACAGTATATTGGTCTATGACTCTATCTTTATCCTATAAACGAGCAATTCTTGTATATATATATATATATATATATATATATATATATATATATATAATCGGAATCTCGGAAACGGCTCCAGCGATTTTCATGAATTTTAGTATATGCGTAGATTTGGGGGCGAAAAATCGATCTAGCTAGGTTTCATTTTCAGAAAATTTCCTTTTATCCCTGTTTTCAGGGAATGAAAAATATTATTCGAATATGACGGTAAATTTCGCCGCAAGAGAAAATGTCATAATAGCTCGGTCGGTAATCGGGCGGCTCCAAAACAGAAGGCCGTGGTTCGCGTCACCATCATTTACACATTTATTTTTTTACTTTTTTTCGATTCCAGATCATTGCTTTCTTTATTTTTAATTTTTTATCGATTTCTTTTTTTGTTATTTTTTCCCTTTTTTTAAAAGTTCTTTCTTTTGAGAAAAACATCAGTTCATATTTTCTTATTATTAAGTCGGTAATATCGAAAAATATTATGCATATTTCATTACTCAGTAATTTGTATCTAAATGTAATTTCCAAAATACACGATTTACCAAAAAAATAAACAAACCGAGCAAAGCTCGGTCCTCCGGGTACTTATTAGTAATAAGCTAATAAGTTGCAAGTATATTTTGAGAAGTTTTCATATTAGACAAATAAACATATAATTATGGTAAATTTGGTTATGCGATTATAGAACAATAATAGAAAGATAAGAAATAATATTTCTATGTGTAGATTAGGATACTTTACTGGATTACTGTCGTTAATAACTAATGAGAACAATAAAGATATGTACGCGAAAAGACTTTGTTTCACTTGATTGGATTTCTATAATCAATTATTCATTTTGAATATACATACACAATAAACAATGGTAAGTACATTTTTTTTATTGTTTATTGACAAAATAGCTAAATAAACTATGTAAGTTCAAAAACATTGTCTTGTAACATAGTCGAAAATTTAAATCTGACTAAAATTTTATGTAAATATATTTATATAGTACCTATCTGTTTGATTATGTTTCTCCTTAAAGATGGGATAATCTCTAAGGAGAAACATAATCAAACAGATAGGTACTTATAAACAGATATGTGCAATGATATTTTATCTGTAGCATACATGCACAGAACACTTATAATCAAAGAGCATATATGTTACTGTTAATGTTACTACGCGTGAAATGAAGCCACGAAAACGTCCAAATGGGACGTCTTGTTTTTAGTTTATGTCACGCAAGGCGATGAGTAAGACGCGGTGTCAAAATAATTTCAGTGATAAAAATGCCGTCGTGTGTATTTAAAAAATGTACCAACTACGATTCAAAAGTTAACAAAACACAAGGGATATCATATCATATGTATGTATGCAATATAATTATCTTCGATTTTTAGTACATTTAATTCTTTTTCCTAATATTTTATTTTGTAGAGGTTAGAAAAGAAAGAAATATGCAACAAATAATTTTTATACGGGTATAAGAAAGAAGGATGCGATCCCGGCATAGATTAAAAAGTACAGATGATGATGAAGTCATCTATTACCCCACTTTTCAATTTTCCTTATTATGTATGTGAAATTATAGAGGTGGAGCCAGTTTAATTTATTTTGTGGAATTGTAGGTTTTATAAATTGAATAAAGAATGTTATTATATAGCATGAATTTCAACCATATTTTTCCCCAAAGTGGGTACTTTCAATAGTAGCCAAATTACGACACATTATTAAAAATTCAAAAGCTATTCCTTTTCATTATTTCCACTTTATCATTATCAGCTGTTAAACGTTAGGAGTTCGAACTTATTTATTTATTAACTTCTTTTTCCTCTTTATGTTTCCAACTGATGAGGTTCGACTTCAAGAGTGGATTGCAATCGTACGCAATCAAAGAAAAGAATCTGATTGGACGCCATCTATAAGCAGTAGAATTTGCAGTAATCACTTCAAAGCTACTGATATGTACACTTCAACCAAAGGACGAACACTACTAAAAAAGATTGCGCTTCCTGTTAAACCGGTAAATAATAATTTAAACCCTAGGCCAATGTGTATTTCATGTATGTATCTATTTTGAATATGGTCTGAGTCTGGCAAATAGACATAATCGTCTTCATTTCATCCTGTTTGTATCCACTGCTGAACCCACAGACTGCCACGAAGCACAATCCAGGTCGTCACTCCATCTAGTCGGGCGTCGCCCAACACTGCGATGGCCAGTACGAGGCTGCCACTCGAGAACCTTTTCACAGACATAATATCCGTGTAAAGTTCCGTTATATTTAGACAGAAAATGTTACCAATAATGTCGAGTTTCCAATGTCACCAAATGGTATCTTTCTGTATTAGATTGTTACGTTATTTTATGCCCGTTATTTTTATCATTTTTTATTTGCCAGGAAATCTTAAATCACAATATGCCGAGCTCCCCGACAAGGCTCGACAACGTCAGTACATCGGACATGGAAGAAATTTTTGAAACACCACCAAAAGCCGCATTGAAGAGATGCATACGTCAATTAGAGTATAAACAAAAGTTGCAGAAAAAAAATAAAGTACTTGCTCAGAAAAATAGAAGACTGAAAAAAAAAGTCGCTAGCATAGCTGCGCAGCTAAAAGAAATAAAGAAAAGGGACTATATTATTGCAAAGGGCCAGATTTGTCAACTAAATTTAAAGAACGAAGTCCTAAATTTAGTAGTAGAATATAGCTAAGAAATCAAAGTATTTCAAATCGCGTAAATTACCCACCTGCGCTTAGAAAATTTGCACTCATGCACAATTTCTATTCATCTGCTGTTTATGATTTATGAGAAGCGTTTTCTTTGCCCGATCTACGAGTTATTCAGCTGAATGGTACGAACATACTTCTTTTATCTTTCACGCAGTAAGCTTTCATTATTTTAAAAGAGAACAGCTCTTTATCGAGCAGACTCATACTTGTACCCTTGTAGTAGGTTAAATAGCACATAAGCATCAAACGATGTGGACCGGTAGAAAAACGAATGATGAGGTATAATGGGTAAGTACGGAACCCTCAGCGCACGAGTTCTACTCGAACTTCACTAGTTTTATTATTCAATATTTGCCATGACGACATTTCGGAATTAAGTTTTTTCTAAATAAACAACCGTTACGTCTCAGTCTAGCTAGTCGCACTCGTTTTTTTCTAGCCAGCCAGTGTTAATATCAAATAGCCAGCGAAGCAAAAATCTTCTAAAATTGAATAGTGGAAGAAAACCGATTCGTCCGAATCCGAAGCGAAGCGAAATGTCTGTCGTGTATGCGTTTTTCTATACATGATTTATTTGGAAAAACTTGGTTTTCCTAATAAATCGTGTATATAAAAATGCCAATACAAAGCCCAATTTGTTGACATAATAAGTGTATAACATACACTTTTTGTATTTAAAATAACTGTTATTTTTATTTCCACCTTAAAAAAAAACACGGTTAGTGAGGTCCTTAGAAAAATAAACAACTTTTTCGGTTTTTAATTTTTAAGAAATTGTAACATCTTTAATAATACGAACTGCAAAAGTGTGGAATGAAATTGAAATTGAGTATCATTTGCCATTTCACATTTAAAGACTTAAATAGAATCAGCAAATAATCCAAAGCGGTTTTGCCTACCAAATCGCCAGCAAATTACCACAGGCTAATTTCAAAAACATCATCTAAAACATTCAAAAATTAAAAAATCAAATTTTAAGAGTCATTACTCTTGACATATGAATCTTTTAAAAAATACATGAACGTAAAAATTACCAGCCAACTTATGTCTCCTGAAGAGCTAATATTTACATAACTCACTTCATTTCAAACTTTACATCTTTAGAATATATATATATGGTTCATTTCCCTTTATTACGTGCCTTTCAACTCAATAACTTGTGAGGGAGAAAACTTCGTATTCGTGTTAATGAAAGAGATAAACAGTTTGTATTGTGGTCCAAAAAAAATTATACCTTTTGAAGTTACAAAGGGTATAATTTTGTTTGCTCTACCAGTTTTTGTTAACATTGAAAATAATCTTATGTTATTATTTTATTCAAAGGGCTAAAATTTTCGGCTAAATTTATTTATATTATAAAATGGATATAGTTTTAATTGTCAAAAATCCTAATACATCATTAATGAACTACAGACATAAAAGGGTGATATTAAATATATCACCAGTATGAAAAGAGATATAAGTATCTTTAAAGTCCAGTGATATATTTTGCCCAACTCAAATGCAGATTCTGTAACAATATATTTTTAACAGGAATTTAGTACTTTTATCCAAGACCACAAACAATTTTAGTTTTTTATGACTTGACTTGTAGAAAAAATTTGCACAGATTAGTTTTAATTGACTAACAATCCTGACTACTATCCTATTTAAAAAAAACTTATTGTTAATTCTATGCCACAAATACCAGTCAACCAATCTTTTCATGACTACCTACAAAACACAAAGACGTAAGTAGTTGTTGCAGCTAGGTTCCTTTGAAACCAGAGATTACATAAATAAATCATAATGGGCAAAATACACACCATACTGTGTTAAATTTATTGCATTGCACTGCACCTTGCTTACTAATACAATCAAGTTCAAATTCATAACCTCATATTACTTTATTAATGCACATAAGTTTTTAAAATTAATAAATTAATAATCAACGATTGTGATTACAGTAACACTGAAATCTAAGTTCTGTCATGTTTTTCAATTGAAACAATCAGAAAACTTCTCATGTTGCGAATAATTAAGGCTGTACTCTATTTAAAACACTAATAAAATACAAGTATTTACATAATGACAAGAACAGAATATGATCAGTCAGTGCTTTAAATCATTGAATCACCAAGTAGACCTAGTCTACATTGACCTATAATCATTTTTACAAATTCATAGCTGTTTTCCAAATTCAAAATATTATCAGCAAAGAATTCTCCTTTAGTTCTTTGTTTTCGTTTTAAGTTTATGGCCCTTCTTGAATTTTTACCCTTCATAATCTTGGTCAAACATTTGCCTATCAAAAAGCAATTCTTCTTCACCCTTGAGCACAACTTTCGCATTTTTAATCTGCATCTCTGTTAACTTTGGCAGGGTTTTGAAAAACATCTGTAACAAACAATTCTTGCTTGCACTCAACAACATAAAAAAAATATCCAAACAGCAGTATTATGAAAACAATACAGAAATTGATGGAGATAATTGACTTAAAATATTACACAATAATGCCCATACTAAAGATAATAAATGTGTAGCTAATAAAATATTTCAAGACACGTTTTTACACAAAATTTTGTAGTCCCAAACTAAGAAATGTTTGTACTATGGGTACTAGATACCTGATTAACAAACTTAAACATAATTTTCGTTTGTAAATAAATATGTATTATACATACATAAACACCCATAAACTGTAAACACTATGTTCATCACACAATATTTTCCCAGTAGTTGGAATTGTACCCACACCCTCTAGCGCACGAGGCAGGGTCATACCCTCTTTACAATTACGCCAATCGGGTCATCACAATGTATTAATTATCATTGATACCCCATATATTATAAGAATTTTGAAAAATCTTAATAAATATGAAAAAAAAAAAAAGATTATTTTTGTACCTTTCGAGTTATTAACTCCATGCCATGCGCCTTTTTCATATGGTCCTTGAGGACTGATGTGCGACGAAACCTGTAAAAAAAATCATAATTAAAACAAATCAAACTCGAGTGACAGCTTAGTGTACGGGCGCTAACTTTTAATTACATTTAATAGCAACCTGAGTTCGATCCCCGGTGCCAGCACCAAAGAAATTTTTCATGTTAAGGGCTGAATTATCACGTGCTCGGCGGTGAAGGAAAACATCGTGAGGAAACCGGCATATTTTCGAAATAATAATAAGGAAAAATATTTCGAAAATATGTGAAGTCCGCAATCCGCAGTGGGGTCGCGGGCTGTACTATACCCTGATACCCTCTTTACAGAGGCCTTTCCCCAGCAGTGGGACATTTATAGGCTGTTACTGTACTTTTTTTTTAAACTTGAGTGTTCAATAATTATCATAGCTTCCATTACTTGGGCGAAACGTTGGATATAGCAAAGTTTAACGGTGACCGGTGTAATATGACCTTTTGGGGCATATGTGGCAGGCGCAGGGCGGTGGCAGGTTGCGGTGTCGACTGTCCACGTGAAGCTGGAGGGCGAACTTTTGCGCGTAACGCTTGCCGCATTCGTCGCAAACGAAGCGCTTCTCGGCTGAAGAGATCATAAAAAAAAAATAACTTTAGTCGCCGAGTTAGTTACTGATGGTTGGAATTTTTTTGCAATCAGATCGATCGGCTACCATCGATTCGGGTCTGATTGAAAAGTGAAAAAATCACGGCCTCATATTTGCAGACAGTATTCAGCGAGGGGCTGTAAGGGCAGTAGCTTAACTGTAATTAAGGACTTCATAGGAATCCTTTTAGGCCTTTAATATCGATAAAATGTAGGCCCTTTTTTTCAGTATTGGGGGGAAATCTACAGAAGATACCATGTCATGATATCACAGGGCTATGTGGGGTTCGTACCCACTAAAACCCCCTTGTTGGTCACCTTCCGCACCTTTGGAGGACTCCGGGATCTCCCACGGAACGCACCGGTAAAATGTAGGCCCTAGGCTATTGACACTTTATTTGTTTATTATAAAAACAATACTCACGGTTGTGTGTATTCATATGCATGACCAAAGCCGCCTTAATTTTGAAAGCGCGCTGACAGTGATCGCAGACATATTGGACGTTGCTATGCTTTTTCAAGTGACGCTGAAAACAGAGAAAAATTACAGTATAGTAAAAACGTTAATGCTCCTTAATGTGTTACTGTTACCTAACTCGAAAATAAAAATGTACTGCCATTACTAGGATTACATATACTAAATAACTTTTTACTACGTGATAATTTTTTTATTCAACTCACTATTCACATTTGAAAATAATGTATAAAAACTATAGCACAAGTAGAGCAGTAATTCCGCCGGATTACCAAAAATTAAAAAAAATTTATTGCAAACATTGGGCCCTGAAAATATCACTTACCGGGCGATACGAGAAAATATAACACATACTTCCACTTCAGCTATGAGATATGTAAGTGCAGAGCAAGTGCTAGAAATACCAAGTATTTTTTGTAAACTACAATTTATTGTAAAGCAGAATAGTTGGCCTTTTTAATTATGGTTTTTATTTGTCTTTGGTATACTATATACAGTATACTACACAATATATTATATTTTCTCAGAGATTTGAACTTAAGGCGCTGTATGCAGTGAATTTTTAAATATTTGGGTAATGAAGCAGGGGAAACGGAGAACTTGGTGCGGGACGCACCGCTCGAGTTTCGTCGACGCATCGCGTGACCAAGTCATTCGTTACCTATTAGTTGTGGGCCGTAAGATACTATTGATAGTATCGTGGGAGGCTTTCGAAAATGTACACAGATGATCCCTATATCTTTTATAGCCAATCTACAAATCTAGAAACAGAAAACAATCTACCTACCGAGAGTGCAGACCTTGATGTATATGCTGAGGAACAGTAGTGACAACGGAAGGGCCGGATCCCATTGTGCAAATATTCATGGGACATGAGATTGGTTTTCGATATGAATTCGGCTGAACACTGATCACAGGAATATCTGAAAATATTAAAGTAACCATTAAAGATTATGTAAATAAGATACACTATGTATTATTATATTTCATAATGTTGATTGAATAAAATTTATTATTGTAGGGGATAAAATTTATAGATTCACAAATGTCTGTTGGTAAAACATTTGAATGCATAAGTTAAAAAACACAAACTCTCGCTGTCAAATTAAAATACACATAATGAAAAACGATGATAATAATTCCCATAATAATGCCTATTTCACTCCATTCAAGGGACTATGTTTGACTTCATCAACCATAGTGCACTCTGCATCGAAAATATGTGCAAAAAACCAGGAAATTAATAAATTGTCTTACTTTTTTTTTATTGAGCAATTAAATCCACAGCCTTTAGTTAGTTTACATGTATTTCAATCACATATGCTTAACTTACAGCCAAGAAAAAATTTATGGTTAGAATATACAAAATAATTGAGCAGTTTAGGATAAAAAATGTTCTTTAAAAAATAAATCCAGGGTGTGTGTGTGTGTGTTTCTTTAATGAACAGAAATCGGTATAAGACATTACATACTTTTGCAAAGTTTTGGACGACAGCATAGGTGGATATGGACGCCTCTGTCCGTTCCGGCCGAGGCAAAGGGCGCGCGCTTTGAGCACCACGTCCGCGTCCGGTGCGTTACACCGCTTCTCGTGCTTGTATAGATTTGTGGTGCTAAAAATATAACTTCGGTTCAGTGACCGTTTCTTCATGTGAGACTTTGGCAAGTGGTTCACCTGGTTTTACCAATGCCCATGGACATCTACTACAACTTGGGTTTGAAGTTGCCTTCCAACCAAAAAAATTGGACCGTAACTCACCGACTGTGTGCGCCATACCACAGTATCACTCTCATAGGATTTTGTGCCTATTGCAGACTTTTTTTTGTGCAGTGTCCAAGAGAAAGAGATACATTTCAGAGGCATAGGCTTCCTCCCTCTTGCGCGTGCTATACAACCCTGTCTTGAGCGGATTGCATCCACGTTTTTCCTGCGATCGTTATGATGTCGTCGACACAACTCCTCACACACCTCCTCCTCACACCTGCTATCGACATGTCTAGCAATGTGCCCTGCCCAGCACAGGATCTCATTCGGTAACGAAAATGTTTTTTTAACTGTGGTAGGACCACGCAACAGTTCACTGTTTCAGGAATGGGTAGGTCTGTCCGATTTAGTACCACGACCTCACAGAAGGCCGTTGTAGTGTTTCATCTGGTGAGTGAGGTAAAAAGAGGCAACACATCAGCAACGGGTGATGCATTATCACTTAACATCAGGTAAACCGCCAGCTGGTTTGCCACTTTCTCACATAAAAAAAAGAATGAAAAATTAGAAAAATGTTTATTTGCAGAACTCAGTTCTTAAGTTTTAATAGGACTCCACTAAGCTAAGATAATAAATACCACATAAGCAGTATTTGAAATCTCTAAAAATAATAAAATGTTATATAATAATGTGTAAATTTTTACCTAGAGTTGTGTAGTTACCGAAACATAGTTCTTATAAAAAAATATCATTATGACTGATAAAGAGGTGACCATGTTATGTGTTGAGATTACACTTTTTATTTAATTAATATTTTATATTGAAAGTTAAGTTTTGCCGCTTCTATACCCAGCAAGCTTCACACGGTGTTCGCCAAAAATCAGAACCAAACCATGAATATGAAATGCCATAAGAAAAACTTCTTCTTAGATACAAATCTTGTAAATTATTATTTGAATATACATAGCACCAACCTCCTAAAATCTACTCCGCAAGCATAGCAGATCAGGTAGCGAGGGCCATGCTTCTCTTGATAGTGACGCCCAGCAGCGGGTATAGTTTCTGACATAGCATGGCAATGTATGCATCTGTTGAGAAAGTTAACAGAGAATAATTTTTGAAGTTATTGTTTTGGCGTGTTTGAAACTTTTATGACAGTAAAATTTTTATGATGCGCGTGCACACCACTTTCAAAAAGCGACACAATGCAGTTGGTTGCAAAGCAATTAACATCACAGTATTACCAATAATTCCAAATTACTTAATTAAACCATTTTCTGTCGCATTTGCAATTTCTCTTTCCCAAACAAAGAGTACTGGCACATGGAGATAATGTTTTTTTGTTATTTTTCATTTGTTACACTAAAGAAGTAATGGCTTATCCTCTCCATATAGTTATAGTTATATAAATGGTATGAATTTTAAAAACTCACTGTAGAACTTAATACTTACTCTAGCATTATGTCATTCATCATATAATAATCTAGAGGAGGCGGAGGAGGCCTCACAGTTTTCATGATCTCTGCTAGTGTTTTGATTAGATTGTTTTTATCATTTCGAAGTTCGGGATACTTCTGTTTTAGGTCTGAAACAAAAGACTTTATTTGCCATGGTTTAACCATTTTGTGCCTCTGTTTCTCTCTACGTCCCTTGTTGTCAAACTCCTTGTCTTCTTCTTCATAGTCCTCATCGTCATCTTCGTCTTCATCTTCCTCTGGAATATATTCAGTATCTTCATCGTCACATTCGAATTTTATCTCGACTTTAATTGGCTGATCGAGATACTTATAGTTGTACTCCGGCTCAGGGGGCTCCTGCTTCATAAACATTTCTTCAAATTTTACCATTTCCCCATACGTTTCTGCCGTGTCTATAAGTTCTTCTACATCATTTTCATTTTCTTTTAATTCAGTTTTAATTTCTTTGACAGACGAGTACTCATTTTCGTCGCCAATTATAACAACAATCATGTCATCTTCTTGCTCCATGACGGAAATTTCTAAAAACGATCATTATTTGTAATGAAAATGTTAGCCTTGTCAATAATTCTGTAAATAAAATTAATTAATAATATTTATTTACAAATTGCAGTCAAAATACCGCCAACTTTGTTTCATAACATAAAAGCAAAGGTTTTAAATCGTTCTATCTGTCGATGCACATTAAAAATATCATGTCAGTCAGAGAAAAAGACTAAGATGTAACGAAAATTATCAGTAAACACTGAAATTATTTGTTACGCTACTCACACAAAATATAATGAAATATCTATTGTTGTACTCAAAAAACAGTGATTATGGATTTATAAATGAGAACTTGAGTTTGAGTACTACGATGCGTATTTCCTTTGCCAGTTTTTAGTAATCATAGAGTATAAAACGTAAACATTTAGGAATAACGAGGACACAGATTCAAAATAGTTATACACATAATATTAATAGATTGCAATGAGTCGAAAAATAAGGACTAATAGCTATTAGCCCTTATTGTCATACCTACTTGTAGCAATTTTATGATACAAAATTGATTACCTAGATAAACAGCAAGCAGAATGAATTAAAGGAATTGAAGAGAGCTGTACTGTCAGTCCTGTTCCTATGAGTGCTGTTGAAGCTGTCTTGTCAACTTAGGGCTTTAAGCCCATTCATAGGTCGGAAATATGTATATTGGAATTTTTTAAGGTCCAAAAAAGTTTAGGGCCATTTTTACGGCCATGAATAATATTTCATACATCACTATTTTGACTGACCAGAGTGACTAAAAAAAGCCAAATGAGCATTAATGAATGTAATTGATGTTGATTATTAATTATTTTAACTTTAACTAAGTTATATTTTATTTACCTTAACAAAATGTAAACTCACTTAAACAATATCTTTGAATACAATACATTTTTAGGGGCTTTTGAAAATTGCATAGTTTATGGTTATGTCATCAGATTTTACGGTGTATTTTTACGGTGGTCACGCAGCAGCCTCAGCTGTTGCACGAATCGGCAGGCTGCTCCGGTTAAGTACCACGACCTCACAGAAGACCGACGTAAAGTGGAAGTATGACAAATACTTTCGGGTTCCGTCTGGTGAGTGAGGTAGCCGGAGCCCAATTTCCAAAAAGTTTGTCAACGCATCTGCAAACCCTCGGGTGTAGCAAATGTCCATGGGTGGTGGTATTCACTTATAATATTCTCTGTGCCAGAGACTACCACTACGTTTATTTTCTGTGCTATAAGACAATTGACATTATTGACAATGCATATGCAATGACATGACATATGAGATATGACACTGACATTAACTCAAGAAAGGAGTTTCGAGATAAAAATATTATATGTAATTAGGCGGGAAATATTTGTAAACACCATAAATAAAACCGTCCATCGGGGAACTGTACTCATTACTTATTATAAATTATTATATTTATTAATATTCAAATAAAATAAGTTAATAGTTTAAGAACTGATAATAAAGAGATAAAAGTGTTTATGACTTGAGGAAGACAAATCAAAATAATATGAATATTTCAGGTGAAGATCTTATTTGTTTTTTATTACCAATATAATAAAAAGTGTTAATGCACATGTTTAACACTTTTTCGTATTTTCTTTGGTAAAGGTACAGGTTAATTTTTCTTATAAATAACATGTTGTATGCAAAGAAGTACAAAAATTATGCAGAGAAAAATTGCAAGATAAATTTTTATTTCCTCAAAATTTGAAAGTTTCCGTACATTTTGGTTTTATAATTTATGTATGTATATATATGTAATGGGTATGTTTTTTTATAGTTTAAAAATATTTATAAGAGAAAAGAAACCTGTGTCCGTGAACTGTACCTTTAACTTTTCTTTAATAAACTTATTTAAATTTGTTTTTTATAAAATATATTATTCTTCTGATAAATACATTAATTATACATTTAACACATTCAAATTGATAATTTGCCTTTTATATCACTTCCACATTTACATTTAATTATATGTATGTTAAGTCCATATATGTACATTTTTTACAGCAGGACCATCAAGGATCGATGAAGAAATCCAATTTACATCATCTTTTTTGAAGGTGCGTTCAAATGTAAAAGTACAAACTTTGGAAAATACCTTACTTAAATCAATAAAAGACTACAGAGGTATGTAATTTATTTGTATTAATATTCTATACAGTTTTTGGATATTTTCCACTACCTAATTAACAACATTAATACTTATACACATATGTAATAATTTTTAGATCTCATAACTGAATTTGAAGATATTTTTAATGAATCAGAATGCTACAGAAATCAAGTTTTGATACAAAAAGAGAAATGTGAAAGGTGGGTTTTTTTAATTCAACAAAGATGTTCATACCAAATTTCAACCAAAGACAGCCTTTAAGACCATTGCTCCCATCTCTATGGTACAATGGGGTTTTAGAACATAGTTGGCATTGGTTGTTCACCATTTGCAGTATAGAGGTATTGTCTTGCCAAACTGAAGGATTGAATGTTAAAGTAAAATATTCACTAATCTTTTCTTTATTTTACGGCATTTTTGCAATATAAATATATATATATAATAATTTATCCCAACCATACTAGGCTAACTAAAAGAAACATGATGGTAGTTGTATTTATTTCATTAAAACTTGTAGAAAACGTACGAAAAGATTGTCGCCGTTGTGAGAATCGAACCCACGTCTACATATTTTAATGTCCAATTTTGTCAATTATATTGAAATGTATGTTCAACATTCCAGTGAATCCTGTGTTAGCTCTGAGGCACTAAAAAAAGTAATTGCTGGAAAGGATGACACTATTCAGTCCATTGGTAATGTTATCTTGTCTTATTTTTATAAGTTTCTAGATAAGAATTGTTACACATATGTCTCAAACTTATGATTATTGCAAACAATAGACGGAATACGTAAAAGTTAAAAATTAATGTTTACTAGCATTTTCTTAGACCGCCAAATATAACTACAGACCGTTTCCAATTTTTTGTTTTTCTTTTAAACGTTGCCCTTACTGTTGGAGAACATTATCCTGTGTTGTGAGGACTTTTACAAACATGAATTTCTCGTGGTCAACAGATCCAACACAATTATTTGTGGGTCACACAAATAGTCGTCCCGTGTGGGAATCGAACCCACGACCCCCGACGCCGAAACCAATGCCTTGGCAACTGCGCTACGGAGTCATCAAAATGGAAAATTTATAGAAAAATACGAAAAGAATGAAAAGATTTTCGCCGCCTCGATGATTTAAATCTGCGTCCTCTGGTTTACTGTCTAGGTCGACTGATCAAAATTTTCAACTTTATTTAGAATGCAGAAAATAGATCTATAAAATTAAAGTTTTTGTCTGTGGTAGGCCCACGCTGCAGCATCGGCTGTTGCACGAATGGCAGGCCCGTCCGGGGAAGTACCGCGTTAACGCGTCCTCACAGAATACTGGCGTGAAGAGGAAGTATCACACTTGTATGTTGTCTGATGAGTGGGGTGACCAGGGATCACTTATTTTAATGGGTGTCAATAATTCTGCAACCCCTCGGGCATTGTAGATGTCCATGGGCGGCGTTAATAGTCGATTAATGTTAAGTAATCTGCTTGCTTGACTTTTCACATAAAAAAAATAATTTAAATTGTTAAATGTACACATACAGTAAAACACACAGACAAATGAATGATTGTTACATTTTATTACAGGAAACATTTTAAAAGAGTTAATCGAAAAAAAAGACTTTAATATCATAAATAATGCTTTTCGAATTATTTATGGCGAACAGTTCCCACTTCAAAAGGCAATATCCCTTGAGGAAAAAGCAATTCCTAATTTGGAAATCTTGAATAGAAGAAACGTGGATGATAACTTCCCATTGAGTGATCTAGATGAATGTGCTACAACAACGAAAATAAATGATATATCATCTGGCAGGAAGAGTCCAATAATTCCAAGTAAAATACCACGAAACCGGTCTTGTTCAATAATAGAAAAAACCAAACCACAAGAAAAAAAGAAGTGTCCAGACTCTTGGTAAGAATAAAAACACATTTGAGTAATCAAGACTATACAGGGTGATTTTATAGACGACGGACATATTAACAGAGCATATGCAGAATTTGATTCTAAATCTGAACGTTGTGACCTCATTTTTTCCAAAGATTGTTTTTAATTTTTTCAAACATTATGGACACCTTAAGAAATTCCTGCCTTACCGTCTCAATACTATAACCTATTCACGAGCACTAAAACTTTTCGTTGAACGCATTATTAGTGAACCGCTTATCAATAGGGTTACCACTCTTAACGGGATAAACAAACAATGTTTGAATTGATATTTTTCTTGTTATTTCTTGTCGTAATAAAAAAAATTTATATTGTATTTTTAATTATGGAATGCTCAACATTATGTCAAAGTATGTACTTCGTCAAAAAAATCACCCTGTATATGAAACACTGGCAATATTATATAAAATGTGCATTATATGACAATTATTATAAGTATACTATTAGATGGATTCAAAATCAAATCATTTATTCATCGAAATAAGAAATATACATTTCATCTATCGATAGTAATTTTTTTAATCCCGTTTCGTAATGAGGTTCCTCTAACGGAGAAGAAACAGGCAAAAGAAACTCCGTAGGTATTTTGTATTTTTTTTTCTCAAACAAATATACATTGTTATACAGTACAATTCTTTTTTATTTATAAACAGCTTGGGAGCGATCATCTCATTCCCAGGGGTTATTATATTTAATGTACTCTATTATACTGTAATAACCCTTTTTTAAAGTTTTTCTTTAATAAATTTCTTATACCTGTGGATAGATAGGCTTTGCACATTAACTGGGATTTTGTTGTAGAAGCGTGTACACCATCCAGTTACTGAACGAGTTACTGACTCTATGGAGCCTAGTAACAGGTCTACTACCGTAACTAGTAACTGGATTTCTCTTCTATTATTGTATGAACCCAATATTTGTTTAAGTGCAGGCCAACATCGGAGGAGAAGGCTTTGAAATTGTTGTGTCCTACACCCGCCAAAGGCAGATGGAAAGGGAGATACCGCCAGTCGCGGCTTAGTTTTGTGACGCCCAAAACGGAAACAGCCGTAGACCTCACATGCTCTATGAGTGACTGCGAAGGAAACCTAAAGGTATACCGCTGGTATTGGAGTATGGAACTTGATGACTCCGTGGCGCAGTTGCCAAGGTGTTGGCTCCGGCGTCGGGGTTCGTGGGTTCGATTCCCACACGGGACAACTCTTTGTGCGACCCGCAGATAGTTGTTTCGCATATGAGTGTATGTTTGTAAAACGTCTTTACAACACAGCATAATATTATCCTAAAGTAACGGCAAAGTTTTATTAATAAGAGAAATAAAGAAAAAAAACTTGGTTTAGGCGCCGGAGGTCGTGGGTTCGATTATTTCTTTTATACCCACACGAGGTAACTAATTGTAATGTGTAGGGATCGTCATAACCAATTGAAGAAAAACGTAATCTAACACGTGTTCCATTGATCTACTGTCAAATAAAAATAAATAGCTCAAATTATTACACTCATTCTTTTCCATTTGACAAAGCTAATACAGGGTGGCTTTTCTAAGTGTATCCATGTTTTTATTAGATTCTAGACATAAATAATGTTATATAAAAAATGATAAATATTTAAAATCACTCGTAAGTTATTTATTACATTCATTTGAACTTATCTCAAAAAGTGCGTCATTTATACGCAACTCATTTATTTTACTCGCGATCATTCATAACTAACACGCACACAAGTTCGTGCACAGTAAAATTTAGGTATTTATGAATGACTACCGCATTGGCAACACGTTCTGTTTTTTAGGGAATAGAATGGCATTTTTTTTTTGGAAAAAAACTTTGTTTTTTATTTATTTCAATAAACGATTATACTACCGAGTCTGAACATCTTGTGTAAATTTGGGCACTTCTCAAAAAATCTCCCTGTATAATTAAATTAGTATTTGTTGTTATTTTCAATTAGTCACAAAATAATAAAATATGGGTCACCTGTTACCTCACCCGTCAGACGATACGAAAAACAATTAAGTAAGTAATGTTGCTAGTAAATGTTGCTTTCCTATGAGGCCGTGGTAATTCCGTGACCATATTTTCTATGCTAATCTGTATAGGTATATCGCGGTTTGTGTTTAAATTTAGCATCAAAAACAATTTCTAAACATATATTGGAAACAAAAGTTCAACTGTGGTAAGGCCGCGCAACAGATCCGCTCGAAACAGCGAACGAATGGGCAGGCTCGTCCGGGTAAGTACCACGATTCGTGCAACGGCCGAGGCTGCTGCGTGAACACCGTGAACACATACAATTCACTATGAGTTATTGGTCAATGACTGACTTCTATTTCCAGCCAATAAAAATGGAGTCGATTGAAAATGATGATACAATTCTTCCATCACCAACCAGTGGACAGATAAATTTTACCTCTGTGTAAGTGACCATGTAGCATTGACTATATGTTTTATTTATAATTTCTTTATAAACTGTTCTACTGTCTCTCATACAATGACAATAGGATTTAGGCTCAATAACATATTCCTTTTGCGTAAGAAAGAAATATCAATAGCAAAGACTACGTCACTCCTTCAAATTATCGTTGTGAGACGTTATTTGAAATTGTTTGTGTGCTGTAAAGGACATAACAATAAATGGCGCCAAGCATTAATTACTTTATATAAATACGTTAATATTTTTGTCGGCGTGGCCATCAGCCATTTAGCTTAGTGGTAAAAGCGGATACCGGAAGACGCGGGTTCGATTCCCGCGACCAACGAAAAGCTTTTCGTCATTTTTTCTTCAAGAATTTAAACATTTTTTATTGGACTAGAAACAAGAACCGAGACATAATATACAGCGTATCGTTACAATCGCGACAATAAATGAACACACGTCTAACGCTACTTGCCAACAATCATAAAAAAATATTAACGTTAAACAAAATCCATAATAAAAAAAAATATTTTTCAAACAAACTAATGAAGTAAAAAAGAAACAAAATTTGTAACATCCTATACAACTCGCGCCACAGTGTCGCATTACAAGCCTCTCCTTCTAACAGTATGTTTTGTCTCTTTTAAATTCATTCAACCCATTCATATGCTTTGTGACCTTTACAAATGAACTTTACGTTACGCTTTTATAGGTAAGGGTGTTCTAAAATTCTTTGTTTTGGAAAATTTAATAACTCTGTAAATATTGATGTTTAAAGCATTTAAATGTTTAATACAAATTTAAAAAGTTATCCCCTATATGTGTGTTCAATTATTGTCGCGATGGTAACGACTCGCTGTATATACCAACAATGTAATAATAATTTGTAATGAGAAATAAAATTCTCACTCTAGATACAAATCAGCTGGAAGGTGCAGTCCTTATAAACAAAAAAAATCATTGTCAACCTTAAAGCCGAAAGGCGACGAAGAAAGTATTGAAAGCACTAATAATAAGGAGAATAAACCTAGCAATAAAGATATTGATGTTACAGACATAGGAATGGATGTTTTGAAAGAGTCAAACAGGTAAGTTGAGAAGATTTTTCTAAATTTGCGAATATTACACTTTGTTAAATGAAACTATTTTTACTTGATAAATCCGTAAAAATGTTTTCGTTTAGTAGAGTAAATTTAATTTGGTTGTATTATAATTTCCTTTTGCTTTTAATATTCTTTCAATTTGTATTTTTTTTTAGATTCATGTACCAGAAATTGATTTATTTTTATTATAGTTTAACGTTTTGGGGAGTTCTCCATACAGACAATACCGCCATTATCACTTTCCGTCAAACATCTATACGACTTGCTGTGTCATTTAAAAAAATATATCTTTGGCATAACCCCAACAATGCTAATTCAATAGAAATTCAGGCAAATATTATTGTAGTATTGGTACTGTCGAAGAATTACAAAGTGGCTTAAAAGTTATATTATCTGTGACATGAAAAGCGCGCGAAATTCGATTGGTACGCGACTTCATTGGGAGGCTAATACGCGATATTTATTTTGAAACTAAACTTTATCATTCAATTTCCTATTTATAATTTTACATTTCAACAAATTAACGCGATGAAAAGTGATTTAAATAAACGCCAAAGATAAAGTTTTCTAAATTTCGTGATATTTAAATTTGATTTATAATGAATGTGAGGTATCATAGGCTAGTTTAAGCATGTTTTTAACTAAAGAAATATTAGATAACATACTAAAAAATTAAAAAGAACAAAACACTTTATTTTCACACTTTATTTTGCTTGCAAAGAGTAATATTTATATTAGTATTGTATCATTGTTGTCTCGTAAATATTTCAGGTGCGAAAGCAGTCAGAGTAAATCGAAAAAGCCATCGCCAACGAAGAAACTGAAGACCAAATGCACCAAGTTCATAGACGACAACGACGAAAATATGCCTAAAGATGCAACGTTAAAGAACGAAATGGAGGAATCAATTGATATCTTAAGACACTTCCCTAATAGGTATGTTTATTGAATTTCTCTAAAAACGTATCAAACCATTTCGCTAACATTGCATCATAAATTGTTTCATTTTCAATGAAGATCATAGTTTCTCGCATTACCATAGATTCTGTCATTGTTTCAGCCTGTAATGATAGTTGTGTGCGTGTGTGTGATAAATAAATAAATAAATTATGAATCCTTAGAACTAAATATAAGTAAAAAAGACTGTTATATCTGCACACGAATTTTAATAAAATCGTGTCGCTCTGGAAATTATACTTTTTTAATTCGTAAATTTGTAATGTGAATTGTCTGATATATTATCTGCCCACATCCCATCTAAGTTGGGTCGGCAGGTGTTGATTTCTCTCATGAATAAACCCATACGCAGAACAATATCCGTTGGTCTCGCGAATAAATGGGACATTTGTGTGGGAATCAAACTTGCTACCCCGGCGTTTGAGCCAATAGCTTGGCAGCTGTGCCATATCTTATCTTATCTTCCCCAGATTCCTCACCAGCCCAACTAAGCAGCGTATCGTCACTCCCACCAAATCGAGAGGAAATAATGACGATGTGGACGAGAGCATGTCGCTCTTGCATCGAATCAATAAGATCGATGACGTCATGTACAGTCCGAGCAGGTTTGCGAATAATCCGCCATTGCCTTTGTAGGTAGGCTGATGATAAATAAATAAATCGGCGCTTTTTTATTAACAATTTCTTTGGTTAGATGACTGCGCGGCGCAGTTGCCAAGGTTATGAGACGGGGATCGTGGGTTCGATCCCCTCACGGGACAAATATTTGTGGGATTTGAGATCCGGGTGTTTGTCCACGTGAAATTAATGTTCGTAAAACGTCCTTACAACACAGGGTCATGTCATATTATTGTAAGGGCAATGTTTTACCTAAAAGAAACTGAGGTATCACGGATTTTAACCATAATATCCGTATGTTGGGATAAAATGACGGGGTCCCAGCGGTTCCCGAAGATTTGTAACGTGTTCACCAGAAACGCGGTGGTAGGGCCACGCTGCAGCCCCGGCTGTTGCACGAATGGGCAGGCCCGTCCGGGGAAGTACCACGACCTCACAGAAGACCGGCGTCAAGTGGAAGTGTAATACTTTCGCGTTTCGTCTGGTGAGTGAGGTGGCCGGAGCCCAATTTTCGAAATGTTGTCAACGCATCTGGAACCCTCGGGTGTAGCGGATGTCCATGGGCGGCGGTATTCACTTAACATCTGGTGAACCGTCTGCTCGCTTGGCAACTTTTCACATAAAAAAAAAAACATTTCAGCCCGAGCAAACGGCCGTTGTCCCAGAGCGATATACCGCCTAGCTTGTCAGTGCTGAGGCCTAATTTCACCGCAAAGGTAGTTAGCGGCGATGTGAACAATAAAAGGTACGTAGATAGTACGCAGGGATAAGATGGTAAAAAATAAACGGTCGTCTTTATTAAAAACCGGCCAAGTGCGAGTCGGACTCGCGCATAAGGGTTCCGCACCATTATCTATAAGAACGGCAAAAAAATCATATCTATTGTATGGGAACCCTACTTAAATATTTTTAGTATTTGTTGTTATAGCGCAACAGAAATACATCATCTTTGAAACTTTCAACTGTCTAAGTAATATTTTTTATATAATATATATTTAATAACTTATAACTACATATTTAATAACATTCATGAGACCGACAGACAAACAGCGGAGTCTTAATAATAGGGTCCCGTTTTACGCTTTGGGTACGGAACCCTAAAAAGTAGTCAAGGAGAATTTTGAAATGCTTAGCTCCATATAGAAAAGAAAGACATAATATTATGTCGAGATTTCCGCGACGCGAGGTCATCAGCCGCTTAGCTCAGTTGGTAAAGCGTCTGGTCGCGAAAGCAGAAGACACCGGTTCGAATCCCGCAGCGAGTTTTGGTTCATATATCTAAAAAACACAATTTAAAGTTTCATCTTGAGTGCAGAGACTAGCCCTAAAATTAAACCTTAAATAGATTAGTGTCAAACGTGACGGTCCCCTTTTTAATGCGACACCAATGGCTTCGTCCATTAAAACCAAGTAAAACTCCTACGCAGGTCCCACTTATTTTAATAAAGCTCCTTGTGAAAAGCAGTAAGTTTGTGTTTGAAATAACACATCATTTTAATTTTGAATTACTATTGAATAAGGCTTGGGATTAAATTTTGCTTTTATGTTTCTAAGGGCCATTTAAAAGGGGCGCATTTTGAAATAATATTTAGATTTGTATTCGTATTAGAGGAACGGTTATTCGACTTTTGAAATAGATAGGACTATCAGTGTCCCAATAATCAGAGGTATTTCCAACTATGAGGTCCATAAACTTTTTGCATATTCCCAAATCGATTGCTAAGCTACCTTTTCTTCTCGCTTGTTTGTCCAGTTTTCGGTTTTTTACCTTAATTCATAATCATTGGTCACATACAAACACAAAAAGCTATATAAGGCCCTTTTCAATATAATATTTATACTCCATAGACGAAATAACGCAATAGATCAGTAATGTAATACACGCCTTGCAAGCTATGACCGTAGTGCAAATATTCCCTATATAATTATTAGAATATTATGTATGAATTAATTATTTTTGAAATGTTAGTTAACATTAAACTTTAAGAGAACAAAATTTTGTTGCAGTTGTATACACCCACTTGTTTAAGCGCATTAAAGTAATTTAAAACAGTCTAATGTCCCAATCCACACAGATATGCCAAGGCTGACTTAGCCTATATATATAAATCCACTAGCATTGACACCACCATATGGTGAACGAGAAAATATAGCCTTTTATTTATTTTCAGGACGAAACCGGATTTAGTGGAGCCAATATTCAAAGAACCAACAGTGCGAAAGAAAGCTGAAAAGCTAGCCCTACCAGGATGGAGTTGTGATGAATGCAAAGAAGCAAGTATTATTAACGCAATAAATATTTTATGTTGTAAAAATGTTTCACCTTCCATTTAAATAATTCGTCTGGACTTAATAGCACTAAACTAAAATGCAAAATTTAAGGGATTTTTTTTAATAAGTTGCTATATATATGATTATTAAATTTGTTCGTCATAAACAGCTTGTATTTTAAATTTATTTGTTTGGATTTATTTGATCCCCTTCGCTTCCCACACGAGATATTGATTCGGAAATGGGTGTTTGTCCACATGAAATTTATGTATGTATTATGACCTTACAATACAGGATAATTTTAGTCTACGCCCGAGCTGTAAAAGGCTGTGTTTTTGAAGGCAAGCCTACAATAGATGTTCTAAGCCACAGTGGTTTTTGGCACTTACTATGAAACCCCTTCCACACAAATTGTCGCACTTGTAAAGATGCCGACGATAAGCTTCATTATATACAGCGAGTAGAAAGGTCCATATTCCATTGTGTTCCACATGATTTCTTTATTATTCTTGCCCTTGATGTACTTACATAACAATATCTTTCATTGTTTTTTCCTAAAACATTTTGTACTGACTTATGTTGTAAATATCTTTTCTCTTATCTAATCTAATAGTTTTCAGCTATCACAATCATTTTTACTGCATATTTATGCATGTTTTCAAGCACATTGTATAAGTGAATTCATTGTCATGTTAATTTTTAAAGTTTTTTTTTATAGTGCTAATCTTTTCACTTAAGATTGAACATTAAAACATGTAGAAAAAGTACGAAAAGATTGTCGCCGCTGTGGGAATCGAACCCGCGTCTTCGGCATTCGCGGCCTGACGCTCTAGCCACTGAGCTAAACGGCTGATGGCCACAGCGACGAAAATCTTAACGCCCCATTGTCACGTTGTTTCCAGTTCTACGCCGAGCTGTACAAAGATGATCCGGTGATGCTGCGCCAGAAGATGGAGGCGTGCTCCCGCCACAGGGGGCGGCGGGACCCCGCGCGCCCGAAGACCCCGCCAGGGTTCTGGCAGCCCCGCTGGAACGTGCCCACGGACACCGACGACTTCAACCGGCGCAACGACGCCCTCTGACGCCATTCACACTTAAATAAAACCAATACAATATGGTCTTGTTTTCCATGACGCTATGTATTCACCTACTAAATAAAACAACAATTTAATATGCCAACAACTACACACTATCCGTGATCTAGAAATATTATTGTCTTTAATAATGGCTAAAATTATAAATAGAAAATGTTAGGAGTTGTAAATCTTTTCTAACATACATGATAAATGTTAATAATCATAATTTTATGAAAGTTAAACTGAGTAAATATAGAAAAAACAAAGTTTATAAGGAATCTTCCCACTCCGAGATACAAAAAGAACATATGTTTTTATGATCTAAGGCAGTGATTCTCAACCTATTTTTTGTTGCGGCACATATTAAATGATTTCAAAATTTGGCGGCACACAAAGAAAAAGATAAAAATTATTTACTTACTACAACACACTGCATAAATAGTTTATGATAAAAATTTTAAATATACGAAATAAACTAATATATATTACAATAATAACTAAACGTTTATTAAGGGATTAATTACAAGCTAATAATAAAAATATTTTTAATGCGAAATTTGAGCTTGATGTTTTTTGATAATTTCATTTATATTTGATCGTAAAAATGACAATGCTACTCTCATATCGTCTTCTACATTTAACAATCTTGATCTTTTTTTAGTTTTAATGTTGGCTAATGCCAAAAAATAGTTTTCTTTTTAAATTATATAATTTAATAATATAACATTCTTATATATTTGCAAAATTTGGCGGCACACAAAAGTGCCGCGGCACAGTGGTTGAGAATCACTGATCTAAGGGGACTTTTTAGTTAGTATTTATAATAAGCTTTATCGGAAAGATGCTCACATTGACTAAACGGTACTTTATAAACAACTTGTTTTACACTACAGAAACAATACTATAAAAAGAATTCCTGTTGTCAACTAATTCATACCATAAGTAGACAGGTAATAGAAAATATGGTAAGGGCCTTACCTTGTATTATAAGAAGTCATGACTCAACATTATCTGCAAATTAGGCAAAGGAAGGTTAAATGCCATATTGAACCTTGAGTTTGATATGGATTAACTTAAGTATTCTGCTTATCCCAATGGAATATAGCAACACGGATTAATTGATTGTATAGCTGATTACCAGGGCTTCTTGTAAACTAGGAATCAATATTTACTAACCAGATTGCCAATGCAATAGATATAATCAATCAAGTGTAATAATATGTAAGTGTATGTTAGTAATTTGGTCATGAAACATCAATAAAAATCTTAAATAAGTTTAATAATACAAAAAAAATCACCATACTTTTATCACTTTTAGAGTGAGATATGAAACATTTCTTGAAAAAATGCCAAGACTATTAATAAACACTGCACATCAAAATTGTAGGTAGGTAAACCAAACAAACAACAATATTGGAGAACTGCTTTTATTCTCATTTAAACAGAATGTTATAATTTGTCACTAATTTATATTATAAAAAGGAAATTTATAAAATCATATTAGGGATTAGTACTGAACAATTTATACTTTAACATTTCATTTTTCATTCAAAACGAAAAGAAAATTAGAACAGTAGTACTAAAGCAAACTTATATAATTATATTAAGGTTTTTAATTTTTTTTTAAATTAAGTTAGACCCCACTTGCTAAATGAATATGGTGAAAGAAAGATTGTTTTTTCGGAAAAATACTCCAATTTACAAAATTTTTGAACAAAACTTTAAATTTTACTTTGATATATACTTTAAAAGCTACAACAATTTACAGAGGCCTATGAAAGTTTCTTAGCCTTCTGGTATAATGTATCAACAACTTTACTCATGTGGTGGATGGTCTCCAAGACAGTCTCATAGGTCTTCTCTAGAGGCGATTCATCAAACACTATAAGTACACCTTCACCCTGATCCAGGATGCCATTTAACTTCTTATCAAGTATCATTTGGGATAGTTTCTTTTCTACTTGTACTACTGGGAGACGGATTGAACGAGCAACATGGTCAACTTGAACCCTCATATATGGTTCTACTATACGGCACAAATTCTGCTCTAACATTGTATCATAAAGTGCCCCAAGATGTGCACGGACAACTGCATCTTCTTCCAGTTCTGGTTTGTAAGTTTTTAATGCTGCTTGAAAGTCTGCCAGTGATCTTTTGTGCGATGCTGTTGCAACTGCACGCATAGCCTCCATCTCTTTGCCAGCATACTTCAGAGCAGTTTTGCTTCCACATATAGTTGCCACTTCTTCAGCCTGGTTGAGCATGATTTTAGATAACAACATATATTTTAAAGCGGTAAGGGCTTTCGGACTATCAGCGCCGTCGTAACCCTCAAACGCTTCATAAAAGTATGAGTAAGCAGTTTTAAAGTCTCTTTCATCTGCAGCATGTAATATTCCAGACTGTAAGTCTAAGGCAGCTTGCATTTTTGGTGGACAGTAAATTGCATTTGCAGTTGTCCTAGCTGATGTTAATGAAGCTCTTGCTTTGGGTAAATTACTGAGAGCATGGTAGGTTTTGCTCTCAAACAAAAGCACTTCTACAAGTAAATTTTTATCATCAAGCTTCTTTAACTCTTTGAGCAGGGCAGTAGCCAGATCTAAGGCCTCTGTGTACATACCAGTGTCGTAGTATAGAGCAATGAGCCTGGCTTCGAGTGATTGCCTCAAGAAAGTTCTGCGTTCTTCTTTTGCCCATTCGATACATTCTTTACACAGTTGCACTTCAATGCCGATGCCTGCTTCTAAGTCCAGGAAGAAATCGACCAGAGACCGCACCAATTTGGCAGCCTTGGCCTTACTTATCAAACTGAGAAATGGTCTAGTGGCTTTTATTAACTCTGCAAGTTCTTTTGCTTTTCCCTCTTTCTTGTACTTTTCACCAAGATTCAAGATTCCTTGTTCTTTTGCTCGTATGTTTTCTTCGTCATCCTCAGGAACCTCACCAGTGCTAACCATTTTGTCGGTCATGCGGACGTCTTCGTCTCTATTTGACGAAGAGACGCGTGATCTCTCAAATAACATTGCACCGGCCATGATGTGTATAATTATCACTAAAATATGTATTATAAAATGACACTATAACGGTTATACCTTTTCTTTGTAATTTTGTATAATCGCAAAGTCATCGACGACCTTTTCAGAAACAAATCGTAGACGCGTATAATGTTACCATGCCAAAAACTTAAGTCTTACTTTCTTCTACCAAAAATGATTGCCACGCCAGGTGTCTACAGTATTTTTATAACATATACAAATCAATCTTGTTTCAATTATTTAAAAGACATTTAAAAAAAATGGTAAAATCAAATACTTACCTTTTTTTTTTATATTACGCTTTTTAATATTCATTATAACAATAGATGAGCATTCCCATAAATATTAATCTTTAAATCTTTGGATATATGCGATGTTTTCGGTTAAAAGGTTTGGTGTGGTTTTTTTGCATTATAAAATAATACAACTTAAATACCTATAAAAACATAAATGACACCTGTTAAACAAAACAAAAATGCTCGGTTGTTATAGCAACAATGATTGATAACGTGGCGTTTTACAGTTTTCCTCGAGGTTTCAAATAGTTTGTGTAAAGCTCTAGAAATGGCGACAAAGCCTTTAATAGGAAAAGATCAACATCATCTGTTTTTATTTGAAATTTCAAAATTAATAAAGCTTATGTACGAAACTCCAGTGATCTTTTTAACTAAAAAAGTTTATTCAGAATATATCTTCAATACAATGTGTGAGCTGTTTTTAACATTGCAAACTGATAATAAAACAAAATTAATGGATATTATAGTAGACTTCCATTTGCAATGGTTACATGCTGTAAAGGATACAAAAAATTTTAAAAAACTTATAAAGGATTTATCAAAAGATGAAATATCACAGGCAATAAGTTTTACGATCGATGCAATGCAATCTCGTTTAAAATATTACGAGCAGTATATGAGTTTACATCGCCAGTCGCTTCCAAATGAAATACAATCAAACATTACTTCTGACATAGAAATAGTTGAAGAAATGCACCAGGATGTGGTTCATACACTTATGGACAAATTAAAGTCCTATAGAAATTTTTACTCTAACTATGAATTTGTTTTAAAGGTTAATGAATGTGCAGAAGAAATTCTTCATTGGTTAGATAAAATTTACGATAGTTTAGCTATGATTTTAAGTAAATACGTTAATATTAACGTACCTCATCTTACCAATGATTTAGCTAAAACTCTGCAAGATATTGTTGATGACATCCAAGTTTCAGAATCATCCAGTGCACCAAAAGCGGAAATGAAGGACAAAGAAAGGAAATTAGATTCTATGGTACGGTCCACTACAGGTCATAGTCTAGAGATTTGCAAAGTTCTTAATAAAATAAATATATTGCAAGATCGAATTACAAGATTAGAAAATGAACCCAACTCGGCAGCTTTAATGGCACTAAAATACAAAAAAGATTTTTTGGAAAAGAGACTCAGCTCTCTAGAAAACCTAAAAACCACTTTGAAGGACATTCAAAACGCAACAGAGCTCTCGAGCACTTACATTGAAAACGAAGAAGAACTATGTGCTTGTGGGGACTTTTACCAATTGAGAATCTTCAATCATGAACTTCCTCTTGAAGAACGAGAACGATTAGTGACAGAATTATGTTATTTATGGGATTTAGCCGTTTTCGGAGATCGTAGTCACAAGTCCATTATTTCAATATTAAGTGTTGCTGATATAAAAGAAGAATTTACCGACGAACTTGGCACATTTTATGTTGATGAACATAGCAGAAAAATTTACAAATTACCGGGAGAGGACACGAAGTATCAACCAAACGAAAATAATGAACTTGTTGCTTTAACCGATGATGCTGATCATATTTATTACTATGACGAATGTGGACGTTATTTTATAGATCAAAGTACTAGACAAAGAGTATACAAAGCTCTTGAAACTACTAGTGAATATATGATGAGTAGTGATGGAGTGCTTTTAAAGACAAAAGAAGAACGTGATGGTATCACATATTATTACGACAATTATGGGCGATATTATATTAATAGTGAAGGGAAGAATATTTATCGCGATGTTGACTCACTGAGTGAATACGAAAATGATGGTTTTGGTAACCTTGTCCGTATACGTAGCCATTCAGATTTTTTAGAACCATGCCCAGAAGATGAACACGTTACCGAAGATTTCACCTATATAAAACAAAATGTTGGAAAAGCTTTGAGAGTATGTATTGCTAAAGTTATATTATATCAACCATCTGATCCCGTTAAGTTTTTATCTACGTGTTTATTGAAATATAGAGAAAATATAGAATTACGAGATAAGAGGGCAAGAGAAAAGGAAGAGATGGCTATTGAAAGAGAATTGAGAATTGCTGAAGAAAGAGCTAAAATGGAGGCTGCAGCAAGAGAAGCTGCAATTTTCGAGAACGGTGGCAGTGAAGCTAGTTACGATTCAAATTTAAGAAACTACACTTCTATGCAACCTGAAACTGATGAAGTGAATTCTTTTGATACAACAACCAAATAAAATTTCATTCTGTTCTATTTTCCTTAATTCATATTTCTTCGGGTATTTTGGTGTCTTGGTTTATTATTTTCATGCTTCCGGATTATAGTTATTATATGTTCAAATTAAACTAAGATGACATTTTTATTGATATAATCCAATGATTGATTAAAGGTTGTAGGCGGTCAAATTTCGGTATAAGTTTGCTTATATGAATTTACTTTAATCAAATTTAATGTGTGTAACTTAATTAAGCCGCTATTCCAGACTTTGTCGAACGTATTCACGACGTCCAACAAATGTTACTTCACGCCACACCATCTGGGAGTTGGCAGAGTAATGATTGGAGAGAATGAGCTCCGTGAAGCGTTGCACTTGAAGAATGCTCCTGTGTCCGGCTCTAAAGACGAACTGCCCGTTAGGAAATGAGATTTAATGATTGAACGCATTTTTTAACCCTTGCTAGGATAATGCATTCGTATGTTTGGTAGGGGAAAGGGGTTGATCACTGCGTGTTTGAGCAATGCCTCAAGGTCAGGTCAAGGGCACCGTCCTTTGTTTGTGTGCTTGTGTACGCAATTCACACATGTTGATTCTGTAAAAGATATCAGATGAGTGAGACGTTATCGACGTTAATATTTCATTGTTCCACCTAGCGAATGATCTCTCAGATGCTGGTTCGCAGAAAATTGGAATAAGCCTTGCTAGCCTTATAGGATCAGGTACATATTTTTTTTAAAAGAAAAAGAAAAGCATCTTGTTGGTTTTTATTACCCATTATTATTATCTTATTTGACCATATTTCACAATGATTTTAACAATTTTGTAGCTACGCTGTACGTCATTTTCTAGAAGTGTTCTACATAAAATATGGGTTCCGAGTTACATAGGCAAACTCCAACAGCGGTCTTAGATATGTCTTGTCTATAAAGTTTGTTGTCTGCGATAATTAATACACTAATACATTCTCTTTGGAAGTCCAATGTTATGCCAATAAAAAGTTCTTTTAGAAAAATTTCTCTGAATTTGTTTTTGTAAAGATGCTGTATCTTCTAATTTAATTTTTCAGATCTCAAAATTTACAGATAAACAATTGTTTTCTGCATTTTTATCTACAAGTTTTATATGCACAATTTACTACTAGCTTATTTAATTTTTTTTTTATGTGGCTATACTTATATTGACAGCTGTGGTCCGCCATGTTGAAAATGTGAAGTTGACGAATTTCATTCATTAATGTCTTTCGAGATAAACCTTTAGACGTTGTTACAGTACTTTGATTTGATTTGAGTTTATTTTTCTGTATAAGGCACAAACGTAAACAATATAAGCTTATGCTGTATATAAAATTATAAATGTATTGAGGTGATCTAAACTAAAGCAATTTTTAGTGACTACGTACTTGTACCATGATTAATCTTTTAGGGCAAGGCTCTTCTGTATTTTATGTAAATTAGCATGGATAAGTGTGGAATGACGTATCGACCGTCGATTGAGTGGATCGTAAGCGATTTCCGACGTGCAAACGTTTAGTAACGGTTTGACTGAACTCAGTGTCACTAGTTGTTTTTAGTGTTGACTCATGGAACATTACTAACTGTGATAAACCATGGCTCCGAAGCCTCCACCGTTGGGGCCTCCACCGCCGCCTGGTCCTCCGCCTCCACCAGTTTTCGGTGCACCCGCGAAAGGGGGCGCCGATAATAGGGGTGCATTACTTAATTCCATTAGGCAAGGAACGAAGTTGAAAAAAACAGTGACTGTTGACAAAAGTGGACCTTACATACCTGGCAAAGTGTCAACTGTTTCTAGTGGATGTTTATCACAGGGCAATGGAGTCAAAAGTAGTACACCTATGTCGAATGGTGGTGGAGCTATTGGGCCAGGGCTTGGGGGCTTGTTTGCTGGTGGTATGCCAAAGTTAAGGCCCACAGGAAAGTTGGCAGGTGAGTTTTTTAGTTATATTATGAGGTTTATTGTTCAAAATAGAATATTATTTTGATATTGTGGTAAAATCATATTCTTTTGCAGTCTACATTGCAATCCTCAAGAATACTTCTCAAAAGATTAAAGTAACCATAACAAGTTGGAGACATGGTATTAAATTAAAAACAAATTACCATATCAAAGTTTTACAAATGTTTCGTAAATACTCATGATAGTGATGAACAATATTAGTTAGAGATTCATTATTCTAACCATAATAATTATTTAAAATCATTAGAGATATTATCATGATTGTCATTCTTTATTTGCAGCTTACATTTTTCCATAATTATCAATTGCTGTGCAATTAGCTGTAATAAAATTGATATGTTTAGAAAAAATCCTTTAATTACCTAAATATTCATTAAAATTTTTACCTCATTTGATAAAATATCACCTATGGTAATTGAAGCATGGCATCTTAATAATTAAACACTGGTAGTAATTAAGGTTTAAAGACATTCTCCAAAGTTATTAAATTAGTAGTTAGGAGTTTCTGGCTGAATATTAATGTATCTTCAACATTATCTCATATATGGTTCATATTGCTTTGACTACAATATTACAGACAAATCTACTATGTATAAGTAGATTTGTCTGTAATTTCTTCTATAAAAAGGCATTTTTTAAATTTATTGCTACTTCTTTGTATCTTATAGGTTGTTTTTCATTTCATTAATTTTCCAATTGAATTTCTTTTACATAAATATAATTCTATTTGGATTCTTATTTTTTGTGTGTCCTATTTTGAAAAGTCTATTCCTTGTAGCAATTACAAATACCTATGTATGCATATATGCTAAGTAGTAATAACTAAGTGTTATAAAGGAAGTCAAACCTTGAAAATTTTATCTAAGTGTAAATATGTATCATGTAATGTCACATGTCATGCAGAACATATTATAGTTTCACTTAATTTTGATTCCATAGAAAGAAACTGTAAGTATACACAAATAATGTTGAAAATGTTTATGTGCCATGGCTCGAATTCATCACCGGCAAATTTTGGAAAACTAAATCACACAAATAATGCTAATATGTTTGTGCCTTTGATCTAATACATAGTGGGCAAATTGTTTAATAATTAAAACAGGACCTCTGTTGTCTCACTTGCTTGCAACAGTAAATGAGAACTGCCAAACTCTCCTCAGGTACAACTCTCAACGGCCAGGTGAAAGCAGACATCCCTAGATCCCCGTTACAGCTGCCGCAGGCGCAGCACTCGCAAAGGTCATCGCCGGAGAAGAACAGGCCCGTTCTACCTTCGCCGTTGCCCAGCAACAAGCTGGGGGCGATATCGGCGGCCTTGTGCGAGGCTATAGCCAGCCGTGAGTGCCAGGGAGACTCTCCGAGGGAGAGCAGGGAAACACCGCCCCCTAGGCCAATGGTGAAGCGGCAGCCCAGCGAAATGAAGACCAGGGGACCACCCCCGCAGCCCCCGGTACAGAAGCCAGCGATGCCTTTGGTGAGTTTCACTCTCCATCTCGACCTTGAACCCCTTGATGTACAGATTACTCTTTACTTTTGCGGATATTCTATCATTGAATGAATCAATATATAGGATAACGATGTAAAGTGTAAAATGTAGTATGACAATGTTGTAGTAAATTCATTGAGGGTAGGTCGACAGCGCAGTTAATGATTGAATCGTAATGAAGTAATTAAGTAATGACTGGTGCAACGGTTAAGTAGATATGCTACGAATTTACGGAAGTTGATAACGAAAAGCGTGAACGAGAAAATAATAAGAGAAGATAGCAATACCACTACAAAATTTAACCTGCTAAATATAAATCAAAATAATAGCTTCAAATGCTAAAGAAAAACAATGTATTTAAAAGACGTTGAGAATTTCGTCGGTATGGCAATCAGCCGTTTAGCTTAGCGTAGAGCGTCAGGGCGCGAATGCCGAAGACGTAGGTTCGATTCGCACAGCGGCGAAAATCTTTCGTTGCCTTTTTTTCTACTAATTTTAAAATAATTGCTGGTAAATATAAATTTATGCGACACGTAAATAAATCTTTATAACCGTTAAAATCCTTTAGAATATCGAATTCATTAAATTAAGAATGTAATAAATATGTATCATGGGTTAGAATCTTCATGTTCACTGTGTCAATTCGCGTGTAAAGCTTACGCATTTGGTTACGTAATTATCTCATCCTTGATTTCTATGACCGCATTAGCGGAATATAAATTGAAAACCTTTGAAAAAACATACATTAAATTGCATTTGCGCTATTCTCGATTTCGCGATTAAGCAGCGATTTAAAACTACGTCTTAATTACCTTACATCATCAATCATTCGAGCAATTCCAACTAGACTCTCGTATCGATTATCGTTTTCCCTATTTGAGTAATGAAACCGAAGGTTAATCTGCTGACCGTTCTTAAGTTTTGATCTTATAAATCCCGCCTAACCAATCCAATTTCACAGATTACGCACGCCAATCAACTATTTCGTTTTACTTTATCTATAAGCCGTGATAACTCAGTGTCACGGCTGGGCTTTTCATTCATTATACTCGAGCACCCTGAGTTCAAATTCCGGTGCCAGCACCAATGAAATTGTTAATTTTAAGTGCTGACTTATCACGTGTTCGGCGGTAAAGGAAAATATCGTTGAACTATTTTTAACCGACTTCAAAAAAGGAGGAGTTTTCTAAATTCGACCGTATACATATATATATATATATATGTATATATGTATACGTATACATATATACCCCAGCCGTGACACTGAGTTATCACGGCTTATAGATAAAGTAAAACGAAATAGTTGATTGGCGTGCGTATTTGTGAAATTGGATTGGTTAGGCGGGATTTATAAGATCAAAAACTTAAGAACGGTCAGCAGATTAACCTTCGGTTTCATTACTCAAATAGGGAAAACGATAATCGATACGAGAGTCTAGTTGGAATTGCTCGAATGATTGATGATGTAAGGTAATTAAGACGTAGTTTTAAATCGCTGCTTAATCGCGAAATCGAGAATATATATATATATATATATATATATATATATATATATATATATATATATATATATATATATATATATATATATATATATATATATATATATATATATATTTTTATGTGTGTTCGTGGATAACTTCGTCGTTTATGAACCGATTTTGATGATTCTTTTTTTGTTGGCACGGAGATATCCCAAGGGTGGTACCATGATAAGGAAACCGGATCCGATGATGGCATCCCATAGAAATCGAGGGCCATCATTGAATGTTATAGGTATTAACAGTGTTTTTAATTTTCTGATTGAAGTCGGTTTTTTTTTTATTAAAAATTATACTTGTAAGGATTGCGAATGCTTAAAGTAATCCAATGTTACGGGATACGTCAAGCAATGAAATCCGTACATTCGTACATTCGCATTCAACAATGTGCAGTATTAGCAGAAGAAATATGTGTTTCTTAATGTCTTATTATGAATTTGAAATATATTCCTTTAAAAAGTACGTATCTTACACTCGATTTCTGAAAACTGATCATCATAGAACAGAAATTTGACAGCTGACAATCAGCTGTCAAGTTTAACATTCCTTTTGGCAACTCAAATAACATTTGAAAAGCAATTTGACAGCTAATTAGTCGACTTCCACGATGATCAATGTTTCAGAAACCGGGCGTTAGTTATACATGTCGTTAGTCTTTAATGTCACATGATTTTTCAAAACTAATTTGCGCGCACACTGCTGCTTCCGATATGCTTTTGTTTTGTAAAAAAAATACATATTAATAAGATCATAGTTTCCGGTTACTCTTTGGAAGGGAATAATTTAGTGAACCATTGGTTATTTGTTTTAAGCCAAACATTTACGCCGAAGGCATCCGTCGAAGAATACGTCTAGCTATGTATATCAGACAAGGCCCCACCCACAGCTTTACGTGTGGCCACCTTGCGAACGCCGCGCACCTATTTTGGTGGGCACGTGGGTCTGGATAAATAACTTAAAATAGGCCGAACTTTTTAATCCTATTATTCCAGATCTTGTCTAGTATTTGTCCACGTGTGATTTGTATTTAAAAAGCGTTCGCGCAACAGGGTATTACCTCATCCCTCTTTGGCACAATTATTTAAGAAAAATATTACACCATGGATTAGAACAGACAAGGATGTTTAATTTTAATTAGCAGGCGTGGTAAATTTAAAACATTCTCAAATCAACCTGAAGATGACACAAAAAATTTCATTAAAATCGGCCCAGCCGTTTAGGAGACATACACACGTACAGAAGAATTAAATATATAACTAGCGATCCGCCGCGTCTTCGCACGGGTGCAATTACACATATAAACCTTCCTCTCGGATCACTCTATCTAGTTAGAAAAAACCGCATCAAGATCCGTTGCGTAGTTTTAAAGATCTAAGCATACATTGGGACAGAGTACAGACAGACAGCGGGACGACTTTGTTTTATACTATGCAGTGAAGATTAATTCGATGCACTTCGGCGCTGTTAGTGGAAAGTGGGCGTACGGTATCACTCGCGGAATATTGAACATGTCACAAGAGGCCCCTCAATGGGCCTCGGAGAATTGATCGAAATACACCCCCATAGTGGACCGGTCCAGTCTACTGCGTGGGAGAGTTTGTGGGACGTGAATTGCCAAGATTTATTACATTGGCCAAGCTGTAACCGATTTCATTACATGGCAATAGATGTCTATGGCAAATAGTTGTTGGAACAGTTTCTATGACTTGACTTCGGTGTTGGTTTCTATTCTGTAACATAATTGTTTTGGGTCTCCTTTTTAAAGTTCCGTACCCAATGGGTAAAACGGGACCCTATTACTAAGACTTCGCTGTCTGTCTGTCCGTCAGTCACCAGGGTGTATCTCATAAACCGTGACTAACTATCACGGTTTACGAGATACACTTTTGGGTACGGAACCGTAAAAAAAAAACATGCATGCGAAGGCGGTAAAATACCTTCTTTGTCTTTTATACGGCGAAAGTTTTCGCGCTTGTGGACATCTGAAACTCTGTCTCTCTACTTAAGAAGGCTCCATGGCGCACGAGCCAAGTCCGTTGTTTTCTGGAAAAAAAAAACCTTTACTCTCTAGTTCAATATGAGTACTATGAGATGGTTCTGAAATATTATAAGTTTTTAAAGATTGGGTTATTATTTTCACAGCAATAACATTCAAAGCATTTTGTAGTCAATTATTTAAATGCTTAATGTTTTATCATCGTATGTACTCTACTATTACGGCGTTAGGGCAACATGTCTTTATGTTAAACGTTATGCATGTAGTTGTTTATCTTAACCATCGGTCTAAGTAACGATCTTCGCATTCGAGGCTCCGTGGAATAATTACTCTGTCTTTTTGTCCATACTGCTCACTTTACTGTTGCAATATTATATACAAGAGTGAAAATCTTAAACACATGTTATTTATATCTTTTGTACGGTTTGCGATAATAGAATGCCCAATTCAGTTCCGAAATTCTGTTCGTGAATTCTTCTGAATCATCACAATTATTGAGCACATAAATACATAACATATTCTGTACTTTGAGCAAAGCAACACATGTTGTTTTCTTGAGAATCCGCCACGTTCCACCCCCACACGTTGACTCCTGAGAATAACCACTCCTCCATAACAAACGTGTTTCAGTAGCTTAGCGTCGACGCGTGTGACGTCCTAAAATAACGCACACTGTAGGTAGAGTGCTTAGGTACGACGTGCGGTAATCCATCGCACGATTAGAGTACGATTCACACCGAGCTGGCCGTGTAGGCGCGTGTCCGTGTGGAAAGCGGTAAAGGACGTTCATAATGTGCTTACCGCACTTAAATTGTTTCACTGTCCTTTCGATAAGTGTTATTGACGTCCTATAACATTTAAAAAAACTAACATATATTAAAAAAAGTGTGTGTACTTATAACGTACGCACATAAGAAGTTATACTTATTCTGTAACATGAGAATGATAACTAAATATTTTATCCCGTGTGTCAGTACTGTTTGTTTGGGGAAAAAAGACATTAAATGCAATTGATAACGTTTCAATTAAATAATTTGAAGTAACAAATCAATGTCAAAAAGTTGCTACCGGTTTCCATGGTAACACCATGAAGATGGTGTCGCTTTTAGGTGTCGCGTATCGTAAAAATTCATCATTTTTCCCAAACGCGCTGCGACAAAAAAAGTTTTAACTTCAAAAATACAAAGATAAAGTATTAAACAGATGTTGTCTGTTCAATGCTTTATCTGTAAATTTTTCTGAAGGTTACAATAGACTGGAAATTAGAATAATGTCACAGGTCGGTCAAGGATGCTATCAAGTTCGGTCACCGTGGTGCGTGTCCACTCCTCGCACAGATTCTTCCGTTCCGGTGTGAATCGTACTTTACGGCTCGCGTCGGTTTTAGGGCGGCGTTGTTTGCGTTTTTCGCGACCGACGCGTCGATTCGGACGAAATTCCGCCACGTACGC